CCCATGCCCGTTTTCATTAGCACAGCTCAGAACAAAGAGTAGGACGTTAAACCCCATTTCATTTCATTTCGTCTCACAGTGAGCCAGGCGCTGGCGCGCTAGCATGAACACCCCGCGTTCACCTAATTATTGATTCTGTCGTTATTGAAATAATGCCACGTGTGTATTAGACGATTCAGCAATTTTACTGTAAGCACACAAAACACTACCCTCTGACGCCCGAACTACATTTGACGACCAGAATATTTCTTCGGCGATTACAGCTTGTTTTGATCTCTTTACCTTCTTGCCCAAAACCACGTGAACTACCACCAACAGAGCTATCAATATCTTTGTGAACATCTTGACGACCAATATAATGCTACAAATGATTCGCGGACCTCGACAATCCAATTTATATACAGTTCTTTTCTTAATGCTTGATTATAAATTACAGGACATCTGCCTGTATTTAAATAACAACTTCAAAGTAATCTGAAATCTGTTCTCTGTTTCAGTACAGGTGTGTCCAAACCAGTTATATGATACAATGGTTTACATGATCGAGTGTTCAACATAATCAAGGGGGATACTAGAGTTATGGTCGCCTTAAATCCGCAATAATTGACAAAGCGATTGAATTTATTTGAAAACTGACTGATTCAACACAGATGTGTTTATCTCAGATATAAGATACGTGAAATGGTATAAGACAAATACTTGGTGCAAACATGCCGGTGGATTTCAGTAATTATTATACGGTTATGGTCGCCGCCATAAAGTGATCTACATGGGATTAGATATCTTTGAAAACTGACTGCTTCAATACAGATGTTTTTATTTCAGATATAAGATACGAGAAATGGTATCAATATCTGACCAATAATCCATTACATGCATTTTCACCTTAATTCTACATCATTCGCCAAAGGAATCATTTCTTTCCACAGCTGATATAAATTTATAATGATTCAACTATTTTCAAGTAGAATTCTGCGATCAAAAACATACGCAGCTATTACGAGACTTGAACATGCACAACCCGCATGTTTATTTAATCGCTAAATTATACTTGAGAATTATAGATTTGTGTCAAATATATAGTGAGAAATGATTCCTTTTGGCGGTAAATCAAGAATCACGGTGAAAATAGGTTAGGTGGAGAAGAGCGGTACTTTACCGTATTTTACCGTATTTTCATATTGCAGATATATAGGGCCCGATAGGAAATGTCAGTGGACATCGTCCGCTCAGAGACAGGTCCTAAAGGAACTAGGTCTTACTAATCATTATGCAATATACGGTTATACCACACACAGGAAACACTATGGCTACATACGACTAATAGAGATAGGGGCGTAATTCTGATCTTTTCATTGCTGTGTAGCGCTTCGTAAACGCAGCTTATTGCATTGGTCTACTTGGGAGAGATAACGTCAGTGGACCACATTGGCATGGTACCCAGTATGGCACGCTTAAAATTTATAATGTAAAATGGGGTTACCCAAATTTCGACTGCATCCAATTTCGACTACCCCTCAATTCGAGTACAAATTGTATTACCCCCAAAACCCTGCCCCACCCCACACACACACCACCACCACCAGCGCCCCAACTAATCAGCATTTATCGCGTTTAAAGCAAATGGTTAACAAACGAACAACACAATACGCACATACTGAAATGGGGGATTATAAATATGGAGAATCGAGACTTAATTAAGTTTATTATTTACGCTATGCTTTGGTCAAAACTTTAAACACCCATAATTGTGCTCAGAATAAAGTAATTTGAAATGTTCTATATCTATTTATAACCTGTTATAGCTGGAACACCAAGCTCTTTATCTAAATCCTGGAGTCACGGCGGGTAAGATGATGGCTCGCCAGTCTGGAGGTCGCGTCTTCGATCTCTGCATTATACGAGAAAGTTCGTCGGGATTTTCCCATGTGGTTTCCCCCTGTCAGTGGTGCAGGACGGACGGCCTGACAAGAACATCTGTCTAGTCCTTCGTGTGGGACGGACACCCGAGGTCCCGTGTACACATTGGCAGTTGGAATTCGATATAGCACAATGTATGGCGTATGCCCGTGTTCATTAGCCCAGTCAGAGCAGAACAGTAGGACATTAAACCCCAATTTTTTCATTTTATATCTAAATCCTAGATAATGCTTCTTTATTGGAACTTTAAAGGACAATTTCAGTGTCAGCCAATTTTATATAATTATGTGATAGACCTGGTTACAAACATTCCGATTTTAACACAAAGATTTGAAGAATAAGGCGGTGGCACAAATCTTTCTATGAATAGTTCGTTTCCAACAGACATTCCGTGACAGTCTCATATAACAGGATTTTCCGGGATAGTTCCCCCTTGTCCATGGCGCAGAACGATGGGGGGCGGGCTGCCAACGTATAGTCGACCGGATGGGATGAAAAATTGCGGCCCCCTGTAAACCTTGGCATGCACGTAAAAGAACAGTTGTAATTTAAGTATTAGTAGGTCGTAGTACCGCTGTCCGAGCAAGATGTCGCCCATATCGTACTATATGGTGTATGCCCGTCTTCATTAGCCATGTCTCGTTAAACCCCTATTCATTATGAATAAAATGGCGATGATCGGATCACATGACTGTGACACGATGCCGTCTTTTTCATATATACACCTAACTAAATGAACAAAATAATGTCTCAATTACTTTCCAGTTTTCCCTGACAAAATGAATTCCTTTCGAGCTGCATATTTTAAACATAATGATCTTCTACACAAATGGGTGATCATTAAAGGGTGATAGAAGCACATTGGTACTCTTTTCAAAACTGAGCATAAACACTGACATAAATAGAGTCTTTAAAATCGATTTCGTGCAATGTCAACTTATTGTATGCCAAGATAGTGATAATTGTGAGAAGGACAAAGATGGCACATATTTGGTAAGCATCCGACAATAATTTCCTTCAAAGCCGTTAACTGGTCTTCCATCACACCGCCGGCAGCTGTCTGGTTCGGAAATGCGGACATACTAACGTTGTGACCTAGCCCTAGAAATCGTAATGTAAGTCGTAGTTGGGTTTTTATAGTCGGTTTGGTAAAGCGCATAGATCTGGTGTGGTCTTCCCTAAAACAGTTGATTAAAGCTCACCGGAAAAGCTTCATTATATATGAATAATGCATGTAATTATGTAATGCTAAGCTTGTTTGCTACGTGGTTCAATAGATGATGAACAGATTCGGTGTTTGCGTGTTGGCCATTTTGGATAGCCTCGTTTGTCACACAGTTGATTTTGTTGGGGTTTTTTTTGGCAATTGACTTGGTTAATCGCTGATAATAAATTTCGCGCGCTGTGAAGTAATGTAGCCGCAATTGTCATCATACATTTTTCCATTAACATAATTGTTTAGACCTTTGGTTAATCCCGATTGACTTTGTACACTGTGATGGATGGAATGTTAACCAGTTTTAAATTGGGTCAGGATTCGTCAGTCTCTGTAGCAATGTTTGGTTGTGATATTAGATCTTATAAAACGAAACTACTTACTGGTCTACCTTGAAAACAATGCTAATGCGACATTGCCAGGTTTAAACTAGAAGCAACATTACGTAAGGGAATGTCAACATTTGTCCTTTGTTCCAATGCTAATGCGACTTTGCCATGACCACCCACGGGCCCATCGTCATCCAGACATACGCTATTTTACTATTATGATAAGGGAGGCATAGATGTGCTAAATGCACTCTGTATCTCATAGATGTCATTGCCATTGGCAATGCGCCTCTAAATGCCAATGTTCTCACGTAGCTTGGGGTCCCTATTTATTTGGGTGAATCTTCTTAGTCTTTAATTGCCTCGCTTTTGATGGATTAATAAGACTGCAATCTGATTTAAACACAGACCCCATTTCGTTTTGTTTTTAATAGTTCAAAATTTATTTCGTTTTACTTGTCTTTATTTTACTAGGAGTTGTTATATAACCCGCGCTAACTGTGGGTAACCAACTAGAAACATCAACGCTGATTGGTTCAAATGTCGAACGTCATAGGGTCAAAATCCGCCCGTATGACCCCCTGACTTGACCTTCTACTACAACCGGTCAGATATTCATGTAGTGTAGGCCATCGGAAGTATGAAAAAACGTAACGAAACATAGATCTGTATATTAATCAGATTGATAAGATTGCCACACTCGAAATTTAAGCAATGAGCACCATTTGGGGATCACGTGGCTAAGTGGTAAGACGCTAAGTGTTCGATCCCTGCATTGGCCGAGAAAGTTCATCCAGATTTTCCGGCGTGGTTCTCCCTTGTCAGTGATGCAGGACGGAGGGACTGACAAAAAAAAGCTGTCTAGTTGTTCGGATGGGACGAAAAACCGAGGTCCGTGTACACATTGGCGTGCACGTAAAAGATCCCTTGACAGTTGGAATTCGATATAAGAGTAGGCCATAGTGCCGCTGTCCGGGCAAAATTTCCCCCATAGCACACTGTATGGCGTATGCCCGTCTTCATTAGCCCAGGTTAGGAGCAGAACAGTATGACGTTAAACTCCATTTCATTTCATTTCACCATTTACACTCAGTTTTCTAAAAACTTTCTAGAAAGGTTGTCCCTCGCGAGGTCAGACCCAGGGGGGGGGGGGGGGCCTCTGCCTCCACCCGTACAAGTTAATGTAATAGAAACTTCAAAAAACAAAACAAATTTAAAATCAGAATATTATGATAAAGAGATTAAATTTCTTTGAAATCTTTGCTGATTCAATACAGATTTTTTTAATTCGGATATTGATTTACAGAATTACATAAATAAACCTGAGAACTAGAGTAATGGTCGCCATAAAAGTGATCTACATGGGATTAGATATCTTTGAAAACTGACTGCTTCAATACAGATGCTTTTATTTCAGATATAAGATACGAGAAATGTTATCAATATCTGACCAATAATCCACTCTAACATGCATTGATTCAATAAATGTAAGTCAAAATACGAATATAAATTGGATTGTTTTGGTTATGTAAATCAGTTGTGAATAAACTGACAAAATGTTCACGAAGATACTAGTAGCTCTATTGGTGGTAACCCATGTGGTTCTAGCTAAGGTAAATATATTTATTCACATTGCCGTATCACAAAGTCTGCCATTGAGTCGACTGGCGTGGTTTCGAATCCCCGGTTGTACATGACAAGGAGTAGGGTCGCCTGTCCAACCTCGTGGGTTTTCTCCGGGTCCTCCGATTTCCTCCCACTGCTAAAGATCCCTATGCACAAGCGAATTATTGAAATATTATTAATTCATATATTATTCTCGAAATGACCTAGTTTGTGTCGCGTGGACATTAAACCCATCTCTCTCTCTCTCTCTCTCTCTCTCTCTTATCGCGAACTATTGTGTTTATGTTTCAACAGAAATTTGCTAAACAAGTCTTATTAGGTGTGCTAGAACACGCCGTAATGACTTTGAAAAGACAAATCGAATTAGATTAGCTACAAGTCGCAATGTACGATTGGTTTGAATTTTCATTCATATATAAAGATAACTACATTTCTTTAAACTGACACACCATCGCAAACTACTGTGTTTATATTACAACAGTCATATATTGGTGGGTGGATGTGGATAGCCGACTTGTTAGCGCGTGCATCATAAGGTCTGGCATTGAGTCCACTGGCGTGGTTTCGATATTCCCCGGTTGTACGTGACAAGGAGTATGGTCGCCTGTCCACAACGAGCGTGGTTTCGATTAACCGGTGGTACGTTAAAAGGGGTATGGTCGCCTGTCCAACCTCGTGGGTTTTTTAAGAGTCCACGTCGGGTTCATCCCACTGCCAAAGACCCCTATGCGCAAGCAAATTATTGAAATAAAATTGAACCATATTTTAGTCCCGAAATGACCTAGTTTGAATCGAGTGGACGTTAAACCCCATCTCTCTCTCTCTCTCTGTTCAGTAGTCACACTAACTGTTCTACACCTTCCAACGAACAGAAACAAGAACTTGGGTGAACATGGAAAAGTCGCAAGTTGCGTATCTGTGGATTATGTGAAAAACAAAAACTGTTCGTGTGATTATTTCCAATTAGCCATGTATATTGTTATAACACCTCTATTAGTTTTCCAAGTATGTTTTGAATACAAATGTCTAGAGCCTTCTCAACCTTACGGTATTTTTGTTTTCATTTATTTTATTAGTTTGAGGAACAGAAACCAAGGTTTAAGCGAAGTAGTAAGTTGTGACTTTAAACTATTTTTAATAAAGGCTTCCGACAAATACAATCAAATCGATATTTTTTTACCCAAACCAATGAGGTCATGGTCAGAAACAGACGAGTGTGTCACTAATTAGTACTTGACAGAATTGGGCGTGAAATTGATATCATAAGTTGTGTTTTCCCCCAATAAATCGGCTTGGACTAACCCTGTAGTGTGTCCCATGAAGACCCAAACCAATGAGATCTGGTCATTTTAACATAATCTTATACAAACGAGTGCATGGGTTAGGTATGTAAATAATAGTCAAAATGGCATTGATAATTTGTCCTTCCCTCAAATAGTCGTTTTTCTGCGAGAAGCCAAGAAAGTTGTTGACCCGATCGGGAACTTGTTCAATAGACCAAATTGTCATCTGGTTACTTTTAAAATAAGAGACACATGGTTATTTTATGTAGTTTGGTGGATACGATCATGACTATCCACACCACAAATACTCACATTTACGCTTTCTTTCTGTTCTCATCTCTTGTTTACTATAAAATAAAACCAAGTACTAAAAATCCAAACCAGTAGACATAGGCAAAATAGTGTAATCAGCAAGTGGACTGTTCATCTTGTACAAAATACACGACAAACAGTGGTAACGGGTGTCCAGAAGAGTACGCTTACCCTGCCTGGCGCCACACCCGCCATAGCTGTATGCAAACCATTAGACGAAATCTCGGTAAAATAGCGTAATTGGCCAATGGACTATCCATATGCAAAATGCACATGATGAACAGTGTTAACAGATGTAGTAGACATAATATAAATTGTTAATTGCGTTATGCATTTACAACAAGATACTACTATTGTGCTATGTAGTTTTGTCTTCGTTAGAAATCCCACGAATCAATGAATATCTTTACACAAGTAAGGTTTCGAAGAAATCAGATTGTATGTTCTAGATAATAAATAGCTACACTTCTGCTGGTCATGGGAATTTAAAACCGGAAGTACATTAGTTAATTTTGATGTCCTTACCTCAAAATGTTAGGGAGCACTTTATATTTTCTTTCAAATATTTGTATTGACTTTAGCTTGTGTATCGACAAAACAATATGGCGATGCGACGTTGATCGACTACCCTGGTACATCAGCAACATATCCAAACAACGCTGAATGTGATTGGACAATCTGCCCTGGTACACCGGAAGCACGTGTTGTTATCAAAAGCATGGACATTGAAAGGTCATACCACAGACAATGTGCGTACGATGCATTGAGCATACAACAAGTTAAATATTGTGGTTCAGTACCTGAGGATATGAATGGTGAGACAGTATATATAACGGATTATAATTTTGTCTTTTTAAATTGTGTTCATTACATTACATTGTTTTGTTGAAACTCTAAAAAATTTCAAATATTTAATTACAAGAGGTGTGAATCCAATTTGTTTGTAATATGAGTGATGCAGGGCAAGGGACAATGTATAGTCGTTCGGATGGGACGAAAACCCAAGGTCCCGTGTACGCATTGACCATTAAACCCCATTTTATTTCATTTGTTTACAGTAGGATGTTCAACCCCATTTTATTTCATTTGTTTACAGTGTGATGCTAAACCCCATTTGATTTTATTTGTTTACAGTGAAGACAAACAACGGTTGTATTGCAGTCAGCTTTACGAGTGATTCCAGTGTACGAAGAACTGGTTTCAGCCTTGAAGTTGGGCCAGCTCAAGGTAAGATAAGGTTCAGAATTATATTCTTGATGTTGCATCCGTAAGGGTTCATTCGAACTCACCCTATTAATTGTCCCAGCTTGGCATTTCAAAATGATTACTTTTTTATTATTGAACTACGCCGTGAGTTTTCCATATACAGAACTGCAATATAAACAACGTTACACAATAACACTCCCCCCCCCCCCCCCTGCTCCTTCCCCAAGTGTGTTGTAAATTCACCCTTCCGGAAATTTACATTCCCATTCCTCTTTTATTACTTGTATTAGCTTATGGCTTACAAAATAATACTGCATTGAAACTGACGTAACAAATTGTTTTCAAGATACAAATTGTTTTGAACAGCGGTTAACTGGACTATTAAGCTATGGTGCGAACAACAGACCACTTTGAAATGAGTCCTTGCCGGGAAAGTTCATTGGGATTTTCCGGTGTGGTTTTCCCTTGTCAGTGGTGCAGGAAGGAGGGCCTGACAAGGACAGTTGTCTAGCGATTCGGAGGGCCTGACAAGGACAGATGTTTAGCCATTCGGATTGGACAAAGAAACGAGGTATCGTGTAGTCATTGGCGTGCACGTAAAAGATCCCTTGGCAGTTAAAATTCGATATATGAGTAGGCTGTAGTGCCGCTGTCCCTCATAGCACACTGTATGGCGTATGTCCGTCTTCATTAGCACCGTCGGAGCAGAACATTAGGACGTTAAACTCCATTTCATTTTTGTAATGATATCAGTAGTATCTACTTACTTGTCGACGTGGAGTTTTCGCCCTCTGTTAATTTACACAGATTCGTCTTCAAATTTACAGTTGCAATTTTATATTGCTGATGTGGTTGCATATTGCAGGTAACGGTAGCTACTCCTCTGTTAACCTTATTTCTAGTCCAGAAATTTTTAACCGTAAGTACATTAATTATTATCCACGTCCCAGAGCAGTACGACGTGAGACCCATTCCATTTAATTTATTATCGACATTCAATGTTACAGCATTAGGAAAAAGGGTATATCACGCCTGTCATTCCCCGACAATATCATGTCAATATACGAATCTTTGTCTAATGTTTAATATGCAACAAATATGTTCGACGTTGACTCGATAATTTCCGTCTTCATTATCCCAGTCGGTGCATATTTAGACCAGTGAAGCGGATGATAGTTGACTGAGAGAGAGAGAGAGAGAGAGAGAGAGAGAGGGGGGGTAACGTCCACTGGACACACTCTAGGTCATTTCGTGACTAACATATGGTTTAATTTTATTTCAACAATAATTCGCTTGCGCGTAGGGGTCTGTACCGGTGTAGAAGTGGGAGAAAACCGAATTATAGCTGACTTGTCCTAAAACAGAGGGAGATGGGGTTTAACGTCCACTCGGCGCACATTAGTCATAATTATGGTTCAATTATATTCCAATAATTCGCTAGCGTGTTGGCGCCTTTAGCATATGGTTCAATTATATTCCAATAATTCGCTAGCGCGTAGGGGTCTTTAGCATTGAGGAGAAGCCGGAGGACCCGGAGAAAACCCACGAGGTTGGACAGACGATCCTCTGCCTTGTCACGTACAATCGAGGAATCGAAACCACACCCCATGACACAATGATAGACGTTATGATCAAACGCTCGCGGGTTAACCATTAGATACCCCCACCCCAGCCCCCGTCCTAAAACAAATAATACGCAGTTCGTCTATTTATGGTAAACTCCCTTCACGATTTGCAGCAGATACGTGATTCAAGTTGAGCATTGTATCGTTATAAAGTGCAACCTCAGTTATGAACGCGACATGGGCATGTTGGACTGTATGTTTTTAGAAAGTTTAAGATCATTGAAATGCTATAGACAAAATGTGGTAGAACATGAAATAGAGCGAGACTTACATTGAAATCATTTATCCTCGAATTTATAAAGTCTAATTACCCTCATTCACATATCATATGAAATGTCATATTTCATTTGGATTTGTCTACTATTTTCTTTTAGAATGTGACCTAGACATGTTAGATACCTGTACTATGGTGTTCCACAGCAGCGCTGGTATATGTGGGTAGGTATTTAAAATCTAAACCGAAAACAAATAAAATACGTCATCTTTATGTATTCTGTCAACGAGAAGAGACACTTAGGTGTTCTACAATGAGGCTTTATACCTTGGGGGTGCTCGATTGTCAGTTCAGAACGTCCCGTATTGACAGAATACAATTGAGTGACGCGGAATTGGTTGAAATATTTTCTTCTTCAGCTGTCACAGTTCTGCCAGTCCCGACTACTAAGGTGGTGTGAGTAGAATCGTGACGGAACTGATTGCGAGCATTTTAATTCCTAAATCGAAATCGAAAATGTTTAGTTAATCTTGTGTGTATAAGAGATCTAAATGAATTCAAACAGCATTATATAACAGTATACACATATTTTGAATATGGCGGCCATATAGGGCAGAGATCTATTCTCAAAGCAGATAGTACTCTGTGTGCAGCATGGTTTTAGCAGTGACCAAGAACGGGACATAATACCAACAGAACCATCTTTTGTTCTTGATCTGTAGTTTATCCAGAGATTCCATAAAGACACACGTTTAGCCAACATACTCATGTAATTAGACAGTAAAGCAGATTGCAAAATTATCAAAGGTAGATAATATTTCGCTTGCATGCAGGGGTCTTTAGCAGTAGGAGAAAACCGGAGGAAACCAATGAGGTTGGACCGACGACCATACTGGGTACAAGCCGAAAAACCAAACCACCCCACTTGATTCAATAACAGACAGTCTAATCCAACGCGTAAGCGTTAACCATTCGCCCCTCCCCAAACCTATGTAACCTTTGTGTTAATGGGGAGGGGGGTCGCAAAACCCCGTATTAGAAATTGGTAACTATTTTCGTAGCGCTTATTACTATATCTAGAATGTAACCACACCCTTTTAAACATACAACAGTCGGCGATTATTTAATGTCAAGTGATGTTGATGAACAAATCTCTTACTTCTTTTATATTTTCTTCCAGGTCACTGGGGTCATTTTCCACCTGCATGCGATATCATCAATGTTCCCACCTTGTTGCTGAAAATATTGAACACTTGAATGAGACTTGCTCTGCTAACAGTAAGTGTATATGGATGTATTATATTCCCAATATCACATCTTGTGTAAGAAAAGAGGGTGGGGGGGTAACGTGCACTCAACACAAACTAGGTCATTTCGGGTCTAACAATCATTCGCTTGAGCGTAGGAATCTTTAGCAATGGATTGAAACCGTACGACCCAGAGGTCGGACAGGGGACCCTACTCCTTGTCATGTACTAGCGAGAAATCGGAAACACGGCACTTGACTCAATTACAGACCTTATCATCTAAAGCACACGCGTTAGACCATTCGATTATTCTGTCCAGCTCGCCCATTTTTTGTAATAATATGCTCAACTAATGTGTCAGAGATGACGATAAATATACTCAATTTAATGTACCCAATTTGACTTTATTTAATTCATTTTCTATCTTTATTTCAGGTTCAGCACTATCAGGCAAGATAATCTATTTTTATATTATATAGACATTTCACGTTGGAGTATACTGCTGTCATCTCTGCTGTCATCTATTTCAGTCCGTCTGCGATTCCTGTAGCCATTATGTTTATCATTACTTCTGAAATTGTTTATTCATACTTGATGGAGTTGGTCGTTCGGGACCCCGTTTGGGTTTGGGGGAATTTAAAGATTGTGTACAAACAATTCAGGATTGCATGGACGTTTGTAAAAGAATAAAATCCGGATGGAAATTTAGAGACCCCGCCCCCTCCGGAGTTCTGATGCTGGGTGCATATTCATTTGACGGGCAACGTTATTTTATATTTTGTATTTGAAAATTACCGTTTCCGCAGTGGTTTCAATGTTTACACCTTTTGTTTGGACAAAATACTACACGGCGATATCACTTGGTGGAAGCGGGCGTTGATTATGGTTATTTCAAGAAATACTAGAAAACAAAAATGACGAACAGCCTAATCAAAGGGTTGTACTAATTTCATTCCATCCAGTAATAGTAAAACCAATGTAATATGTTAAGTGTATAACAAACACTTCCCTTGCAGGTTGCAACATGCAAGAAGCTGCACAATGTGCCGTATCCATTTTAGATATAACCCATTCCACTGATGTGTCATTTATATGTCAGTAAGTACAAACAAACTTTTCATCCGGTTTCTTTCGGCTACCAAACCCTATTCAAAAATAAAACATCACTAAATTATTTATATTATCTACCTCCCTAGAATTGATTTGGCGAAAAGATTTAGGGTGTCATGGATAGTGTCATATCTAAATGAAAGAAAATGAGTTAAGCCCGTTGTCCGTGTACGAGTTCTCACGGCGTTTCGTTTTTGCTGGCGAAAATGTCGGTCTAATGCAACTGTAAAGGGACCGTTCCCATGCAATCTGGGCGCGTACTTGGAAAATGTTTTTATGCTATAAGGTGTTAGACTGTAAGGTAGTGTATACCATCTTAATGAAGGGAGTTGGGCTGTAAGGGATTGTATATATAATACCTTAATGAAAAGAGTAAGGCTGTAAGGGGTTATTGTATGATAACTTAAAACAGTAAGGCTGTAAGGGTGTGTTGTATGATAACTTAATGCAAACAGTTAGGCTGTAAGGATTTGTTGTATACGGGTTTGTATGATACCTAAATGATTGTATGAAATAAATTTGTTGCGCATTAATTTTTCAGAACAATCCGAAGTGGTATCGAATGTTTTGCGAATGTAGGATGTTTAGCATTGGTACAGCTATACGAGACACGTGTTAATCAGCTGGCTGATATGTGCATGCAATACACCGGGAGCGGTATGTAATCATCATATATAATTATGAATAAACTGAATATCGTAATTTCATCAAGTGCTCAAATATGCTGTAATAACATAAATGGTCAGCAGTGGGGTCAGTTAGCATAGTCTGTCTCGTACATGATACCTTTCTATATTTACATGTGATTGAAGAATAGTAAGCCGTACGTGTAAGCGATGTGAATTCCCAGTTGGTATCGGCAGTAATATAATTACTAAGCATACCCAGCTTCTAACACGACTCCCACCATTACTCTTCTCCGAGTCCTCCGGTTTCCTCCCACTGCCAAAGATCCCTACGCGCAAGCGAATTATTAAAATAAAATTGAACCATATGTTAGTCCCGAAATGACCTAGGTTGTGTCGAGTTAACGTTAAACCCCATTTTTCTCTCTCTCTCTCTCTCCATTACTCAGCTTAGTAGTATGTAACTTATACTTACTGTAGTGGAACGATAAACCCGATTTCATTTCATTTGTGGTAGACACATGGAGAAACTGGCGATCTTAAAATTGTCACGTGAAACATTTGAATCGAAACCGCTAAACTTGAATCGATCCTATGATATTATTTCAGCAGTTTATATTTAAACAATGTACAGGTGTACTTGATCCGGTAGAGGTCAACATTCTAGTCGCAACCGTTTATATGGTAACAATAGCCATAACGTATAAATGATCTGGAACCGGATGCTCAAAACTCAGTTATTTTAACGATCCGTTAAGCTCTAACGCATCGTTATCTTTCTAACATGTCGTTTGTTAACGGCGCGTTAAATGTCTGTTGCTGGAAAGTCAATTTCCTTATCCGTTAAAGTTAATCCAAGAGTATATAGACCGTTTGGTCTCATTGGCTGAATTTTAAACTTTTAAATTCAATGTACATAGAAGTTGGTATTAACAAGAAACTGGAGAAAATGGGACAGCTGTGCAGTCTGTTCACAAAACTTGATTTAAGACAAAAGAGATAACTCTAGAAAACACTATAAAAAAATATATAGACATTCTGTGTTAAAGATAACGATCCGTTAACTCCATGTTAACGAGCGAGTCGTTCGTTATTAAAGATAAATTATGTAAGATTTAGATAAAGAGCTAGCCATTCTTGCTATAATAGTTCGAAAATAGATAATGTAAAATGAATAATTTGAAAATTTCATTCAAATCGCTCCATTGCGAGCGAAGATATTAGCCTTTGAAGGTTTGACAAGACGTGTGCAATAATTTCAACCACCGTATTGGTTGTTCGAAGCCAAGTCCCGCTCCTCCATTTTTTAGCTTAAATCAAAATATGGCTGAACTGTTCTAATCTGTGTAATATCGGAGAAATGTGATGCCATCGAAAGTTGATTATGGCCTGGATAAGTTAATTAATGTCTAATTAATAATTTAGGTAACATTTCAGGCCTAAAGAAAGACCTGCAATAGGCAGATTTAGCTCTTGCATAATATATGTTTAAGTTAACGGAACTTTGGACAACCGACCCCTTGTAGTCACGGAACCTCCCGAGGACTCTCGGGTATAATATTTCGTAGCACCTGATTGTTTATCACCATATTAACTATAATCTAATGTGTTTTCTTTGATCTATATTTACAGATATATCCATATGAACGGAAGCCATGACGAGAACCCAAGTACCACAGTCAACCCTCGATTAATAAAACAATATTACATCTAAATAATCTGTTGTAATCTGTGTTCTTGAATAATAAAATACTAAGCTTTAATATATAGGTCTATTCATTTTTTTTCATTAAGACATTCTGTGCACAGGGATCTATCTACTCTATTTCAAGAATAGATCTCTGTCCTAAATGACAGCCATATCCAACAATTAGTATACTGTTTTGTAGTGTGGAGTTTATTTACTTTATCAAATGATGCGCTCTTTAATGTATTGAAGTTGTTAGCTAGTACAAGTGACAACGAGAACTGGGCTAATAAGATATACCTTGTAGATTAAAATCGGGCAATGATATCATAACCTACTAATCCAAATATAGTATCCAATGCTTTAGAATAGTGGACACCCGTCATACGCCCCTCCTCGTTGGTCCCCATATTAAAACATTGTGTTTAAATCTAGGGTGAGTTCTGGGCCAGTCTATGACTCAAGAAAGAACGAGGTTTAAACTTTTAGACATCATTCAGAGTTCCTAGGGAACATCATACTCACAGCCCCTTCAACTTAGAGGCCAGAAAACAGACATCAGTGGTGTTCCTAGAGGGGCATATAGCAGGCCGGGATACCGACATCATGCGGGGTTCTTAGACGAAGGCATACCCACAGCCTCCTGGGCTTAGACGCTGGGGTGAAGACATCGTGGTTCTTAGAAGAACGTGCTCTCAGCGTCTGGTTCGCGGCGGGGTTGGAGACAACATGTAGTGTTTCAGCCTTAGGTTTGGGTTCTAGGCTTGTTAAACGCAGAGTGTAGATATTATAACAACTCATAACGTACTATGCTGTAGTTTCATGTATTTCATATATACTCTTCGAAAAAATTAGGGGATATTGAAATGCAAATACCTATGCAGGTGGTGATATGATAAATAGTCATGGACACTTGACATGCTTTGAGAGTATGTTGACAGACGAAGAACCTATCGCCCCAACAGAACCACTGACCTGCACATACACGTAGGGGGGGGGGGGCATTGTCAAATATGACACTTCAAGGAAGGGTTGATGAAAACTGCTGCGTGCTGGTTTATCCTATCCATATTTGCTTTCCTATCGATTTTTGCATAAGATTTACTGTACTGTATCTTTGCTTTAGTGTGGTACGTTTAATTTGCAATGAGACGTCTTCAACATGATGAATTTCTACGTGTTATTAGCATGCTTCAAATGGGTTCTACACAGCGAGCAGTGGCCAACATGCTTAATGTGTCACAGTCTGTGGTCAGCAGACTGTGGAACCGGTACCAACAAACACACAATCATGATGATAGACCTCGTTCAGGTCTTCCTAGAGCTACTACACAAGCCCAGGATCGATACATCCGTACACAGGTTCTGCGAAATCGAGGACAAACGGTCAATTAGCTTTCTGTAAACTTGTACAAAGTTACAGAAATTCGAGTTACACCCTAAACTATTAGAAATCGACTACATGCAACCCATTTGCATGCGCGACGACCGCGTGTTGTGCCTTCTTTAACTCGCCAGCGCATGGCAAACAGGCGTCACTGGTGTACGTTTAATTTGCAATGGGACGTCTTCAACATGATGAACGTCTACGTGCTATTAGCATGCTTCAAATGGGCTCTACACAGCGAGCAGTAGCCAACATGCTTAATGTGCCACAGTCTGTGATCAGCAGACTGTGGAACCGGTACCAACAAACACACAATCCTGATGATAGACCTCGTTCAGGTCGTCCTAGAGCTACTACACAAGTCCAGGATCGATACATTCGTACACAGGTTCTGCGAAATCGAGGACAAACGGTCAATCAGCTTTCTGTAAACTTGTACCAAGTTACAGAAATTCGGGTTACACACTAAACTATTAGAAATCGGCTACATGCAGCCCATTCGCATGCGCGACCACCGCGTGTTGTGCCTCCATTAACTCGCCAGCGCATGACAAACAGGCGTCAATGGTGTAGGCAGCGTAGAAATTGGGGTAATCGTCGATGGGCGCGTGTAATGTTCTCAGATGAGTACAGATGTACTCTGGATTTCACCGATAGGCGTGCTAGCGTTTGGAGGCGTGTAAATGAGCGTCATGCTAACGTTAACGTCAGACAACATGACAGATTCAGTCGTGGGTCTGTTATGGTGTGGGGAGGAATCGCCATGACTGGCAGAACTGAAATGAAATGAAATGGGGTTTAACGTCCTACTGTTCTGGGCTAACGAAGATGGGCATACGCCATACAGTGTGCCATGAGGGAAATTTTGCCCGGCAGCGGCACTATAATCGCCTACTCTTATATCGAATTCCAACTGCCAAGGGATCTTTTACGTGCATTCCAATGTTTACACGGGACCTCGGTTTTTCGTCTCATCCGAAGGACTAGAAAACTGTCCTTGTCAGGCCCTCCGTCCTGCATCACTGACAAGGGGAAACCACGTCGGAAAATCGGGATGCACTTTCTCGGCCAATGCAGGGATCGAACACCCGACCTCCAGGCTAGCGAGCCAGCGCCTTACCCACCTAGCCACCGTGGCTCATATTGTTCAAGGACGGGTCACTGGTGTGTACTACCGTGACCACATTCTGGCACCGACGACAATGCCCGTGCCCACCGCGCTCGTGTCGTGAATGACTACCTCCAGCGTCTCCATATTGTCCATATCCCATGGCCAACAATGAGTCCTGACCTTTCCCCTATAGAGCATGTCTGGGACATGATTGGGAGACGTGTTCGTCGACGTCAACGTCAACGTCAACCGACAACACTGCAAGAATTGGCAGTGGTACTGCAAGAGAAGTGGGTCAGATTGCCCTAAATCGTGATTTGACGGTTGATTAGGAGCATACCACGACGAATTGCTGAATGTCTGAGGATTGGTGGCGCAATTACTCATTATTAAGACAAAAATCAAAGACGTCCATTTTCACTTTTGACAGTGTATCTCTTTGGGAGTGAAATGGGGCCACTCATATGAACTGTTTATGTTCATGTGTAGGCAATTGGCCTGTTATTAACATACACTGATTACCTCTAATAAAAACAGCAGTGCATTTCCGCAGTTTTGTATTGTTTCTGAATATCCCCTACTTTTTTGTAGAGTATAGATAGTTATAATAGCAACACGGTGTTCCAGGGGTAATTGATAACTGAAGTTTTAAATACAGCGTGAAAGTCCTACCGAGACGACGGATAGAGTTACAGGCCGTTTTCTGGAGATTCGTGACTAGAATAGTGTCACATATTATTTTATTCTTTTGGTGCCGAAACACAGGATACAGTGTCACACCGGTTCAAATCTGTTATTAAATGAAAGTTAATTAAATGAAAGAATAATATATACTTTGCAAACTTATCAATATAATATACTTGGTGTTTTTGACTAAAATCGTCGATTTAGGACTATCGTCGTCCCTGTTCTCAAGCGGGGCTAATTTAGACAACATAAGTTTAGTATGGGGTATCTGACTGACACACTGTTTGGTTGTGTGAGCCAACCAAGGTCCACCAGCATGACAGGAACGCGTGATAACTGTTTGGGTGCGTGAGCCCATCACCGTCCATCCACATGGCAGGAACCCGTGATATAACTGTTTGTTTGTGTGAGCCCACCACCGTTCATCCACATACCAGGAACGCGTGATAACTGTTTGGAGATGACCGATGAACAGACTACAACGCAACGACCCAGACAAGTTCCCGTATGGTCACTTGTTTTGAATTTAGAGTTTATTTCATGAAATGAAGACGGGCATAGTATGCTGTATGGGACATTTTGCCCGGACAGCGGTGCTACGGCCTACTTTTATATCGAATTCCAACTGCAAAGGGACCACCAATGAACTTTCTCTGCCAACACCCGACCGGGAGCGAACCTGCGACCTCCAGGCTAGCGATTCAGACAATGGTGTAATTCAAAGACAAAGGAAACACCATGGGCACATTGAGTAAGATGCTAACCCGGCGTTTCGGTGTTGACCGAGAAAGAGAGAGAAAAATGGGGTTTAACATCCACTCAACACAAACTAAGTCATTTCTGGGCTAACACATCGTTCAATTGTATTTCAGTAATTCGCTTGCAGTGGGAGGAAACCGGGGGACCCGGCGAAAACCCACGAAGATGAACAGGCGTCCCAACTCCTTGTCACGTACAACCGGGAAAGCGAAACCACGCCAGTTGTTTGAATAAATAGTCAAACATGGATAGATTCAATGCAGTATTAAGCTAACGAAATGTCAAGATTGAATTATAATCCCAAAAAGACAAACATGGGAAATTCGGTTGATTATGTGAGAATACAAAGTCAAGTGGTTGCTTTATATTTTATTAATAATATCTAGCTGTTGGTCGGCAGTTTTCTACTTGGTTGTCGAAATGTACCGTACCTGGTAATGGATATAGCTTTACCGTACTTGCCTGGAAAATACAATAATATACAAATATTGTTTCACTCATGTTTGAAAAAGAATTGTTGAGATAATGTTGTACCATGTTTCAAGTCCAGAAATAACCTAGTTTTTGTCGAATGGACGTAACCCACGGACCATCTCTATCATCCTTCCTATCTCTCGCCCACCTTGTATCCACAAATATAATGCAAAGGATTTAACCAGTGATCAAATAGACAGCTTACCCCATATTGGACATTATTTTTTATTATAGGGTGACTGGAACGTTAAAAATTACTTTTTGTTCAACCATTTGCATCAATTAACCTAACGGTTAGTTGCAATTAATTCATATGGAAGAAGTTCAATATCTGTATCAAGTTTTTTTAAATCTAAATTTGGTGATTATAGTTTATGTTGGGCGGCAAGGGTGGGAACTATTATCTTATTGATGTGTGCAGATGTTGAATATTGACGTTGAAAATAAATAATGCACTTACCGTTAAAAGTAATAACTGTTGCTTGGGTAGTTAGCTGAGGTGAAGGGTGGGAAGTAATGTGGGTCGATGCTTGGGTAGTTAGCTGAGGTGAAGCTTGGGTAGTAATCTGTACTGTAGCTTGGGTTGTAATCTGAGGTGAAGCTTGGGAAAAAATATGGGTTGTAATCTGAGGTGAAGCTTGGGGTGTAGCTTGGGATGTAATCTGAGGTGAAGCTTGGGATGTAATCTGGGTAGTTGCTAGGGTAAGATGGAGTGCTGTAATTACTAATAGTAGAGCTAGTATTACCTAGAACAAACAAGACAACCAGTTCAATGGCACAAAAATATAATTTCTAATGTAAAGGGGAGGTAACTCCTCAAAACCATATACTGACCTTATTACTGCTACCATAACGAATGCAAGACAACGACATCAACATCATAATCATCATCCAAAAATAATTTTATGCTTATCTTACCTTGACCTCGACTAATTTCAAGACTGAAACCCGTCTGTCGAACACTAGAATCACTCGTAAAGCTGACTGCAAGACAACCGTTGTTTGTCTTCACTGTAAACAAATGAAATCAAATGGGGTTTAACGTCCTACTGTAAATAAATAATCATAGAGTATGTAAAAAAAACCACCACAATTTCAGACATATTTTGTTACAAACAAACGTGTTTTACCTTTGTATTTTAAGTGTTTATACATAGAACGTATTACAATAAACGTGTTTTACCTTTGTATTTTAAGTGTTTATATATAGAACGTATTACAATAAACGTGTTGTACCTTTGTATTTCAAATGTTTATATATAAAACAAATTGGATGTGTATCGATGTGAATTATTATTTGAAATATTTAAAATTTCAAAAACTATATATACTCTTAAATAAAAGTAGGTGATATTCAGAAACAATACAAAACTGCAGAAATGTACGTCTGTTTTCATTAGAGGTAACCAGTGTATGTTAATAACAGGCCAATTGCCTACACATAAACAGTTCATATGGGCGGCTTATCTGACGGCCCCATTTCACTTGCAAATTGCCTACACATGAACATAAACAGTTCATATGGGCGGCTTATCTGGCGGCCCCATTTCACTCGCAAAGAGATACACTGTCAAAAATGAAAATGGACGTTTTTGATTTTGTTCTTAATAATGAGTAATTGCTCCACCAATCCTCAGACATTCAGCAATTCGTCGTGGGATGCTGCTAATCAACCGCCCAATCATGATTTGGGGCAATCTGACCTACCCCTCTTGCAGTGCCACGGCAAATTCTTGCAGTGATGTCGGTTGACGTTGACGTCGACGAACACGCCTCTCTAAAGTAAAGATACGCTAAACAGTAAATCTTATGCAAGAACCGATAGGAAAGCAAACATGGATAGATAAACCACCAGTTTTCAAATTTGACAATGAACACCTCCCATGTGTATGGCGCTGTTTGCGTGTCGCATGTGCAGCTCGTTGGTTCTGTTGGGGCGATAAATTCTTCATCTGTGAATATACTCTCAAAGCATGTCAAGTGCCCATGACTATTTATCATATCACAACCTGCATAGGTATTTGCATTGCAATATCCCCTACTTTTTTGAAGAGTATATATATATATACATTAGATTAGTAAATCCATTATTAACGCTATGAAATATTTTGTGTTTTCTTACCATTCATATCCACAGATGCTGAACCACAATATTTAACTTGTTGTATGCTCAATGCATCGTACGCACAGTGTCTGTAGTATGACTTTTCAATGTCCATGCGTGTGATAACAATATGTGCTTCCGGTGTACCAGGACAGACTGTCCAATCACATGCAGCGTTGTTTGGATATGTTGCTGTTGTACCAGGGTAGTTGATCACCGTCACATCGCCATTTTGTTTTGTCGATACACAAGCTAAAGGAAAAGCGAGAGAAATGAAGCTTAACGTCCACTCCACACACACTAGGTCATTTCGGGAGTAACATATGGTTCAATTGTATTTCATTAATTCGCTTTTGCATAGGGGTCTTTAGCAGTGGGAGGAAACCGGAGGACAGGCGAACCTACTGGGGTAGTAGATCTTTGTCACATCCCAATTTTCTTTTATACAAGCTAAACATAATTAAAAATATTTTAAACAAAACAAGATTCATATACATTTTCTGCTTGAAACATGGTTTATAGTTGTGGGTATTTACAGTCTGTATTAAGATTTAGACTGTGTGTTTCGTCCTTATTTTATTGACACTATTCAAATATGAGATAATTTCCAATTGATATTTACGTTATGCTTAAAAAAAACATTCATTAAATGGTCCCGGGCAGCTTTTGTTTTACTTTGAAATGCAACATTATGATCATTTAGCATTCAACTCCACATTGACTATTATTTACCTATTATTTACACATACCCGCGTTACCATGACTAGACTTCTCAGTCTGATTAAAACACAGATCCTATTTCGTTTCGTTTATATAGTTCAAATTTCATTTTATTTGTCTGTACTACAGTAGGATCTGGAAGAGTTGCTATATAACCTGCATTCTGGATGGCGTGAGGGATTAGCGAATGAAACCATCTGTTACAGCGACTTCTTGGCGTGCGTTGCACGGAACTGTGGATAAACAACTAGAAACGTCAACGTTGATTGATTTATCAATGTCTGACGGCATAGGTCAAAAGTCGTTCGTAGACCTCTGACGCGACCTTTCACTACAACCGGTCAGATCTTCATGTAGTGTAGGCCATCAAAAGTATAATATATAAAAACGAAACGAAATATGATCTGTATTTTAATCAGATTGTAGACTGTGCTGGTAATATCTCAAATAGTAGTTAATTTAATGACGCAACTTACTACTTCGTTTAAACCTTGGTTTCTGTTCTTCAAACTGAAAACAATATAATAAAATAATAATAAAACAATAATAAAATATTCCAAGAGTTAATATAGATGGCTAAATAATAGAAGGCCCAGCCTAGTTAATAGACTAATTAACATTTGTATTCCAATCTTGTGCTAATATGTTGTGGCAGACCCAATACGACACCACCTAATACGATTCGGCTATCGTAATGAAATGAAATGAAATGGGGTTTAACGTCCTACGGTTCTGCTCCGATTTGGGCTTATGAAGAGGGGCATACGCCATACAGTGTGCTATGAGGGACATTTTTGCCTGGACAGCGACACCAGGGCCTACTTTTAGATCGAATTCAAGCTGCTAAGGGATCTTTTACGTACAAACTAATTTGTAGACGGGACACCACTGACAAGGGGCAACCATGTCGGGAAAATACAGATGAACTTTATCTGCCAATGCAGGAATCGAACAAGCGAACTTCAGGCTAGCGAGCTAGCATCATACCCCCACACCCTTCGTCTATCGTACTTAATACGACTTAAGTCTAGCATATCTAAGGATATGTGTTCTGGCATAACTGACGCGAATTGTTCTAGCACACTTCATACATTAATAGGGCATATCGACTCTGAAATCTAGATATAACCAAACTAAAAGAATTTAAAGAACTAACGGTACCGTTTTATCAACGTGATTAGCCAGAACCACATGGACTACCACCAGTAGAGCTACTAGTATCTTTGTGAACATCTTGACTTGTCAGTTTATTCACTGTTTTACAGAACCCAACAGACCACTTTTATACTCTTATGTTGACTTGGATTTGTTTTGGTATTTTATTTACTAAGACCCATCTGTATTGAAACAATGCATGTTAGAATGGATTATTGGCCAGATATTGATACCATTCCTCGTATCTTATATTTGAAATACAAACATCTGTATTGAAGCAGTCAGTTTTCAAAGATATTTAATCCCATGTAGATCACTTTATGGCGACTGTAACTTTAGTTCTCAGTTTACCATGTTTAAAGCGGAGCCGGGAGGGTTAGATGGCTGAATGGTTAGCACGTGCGTACTGTATTATACGGCCTGTCATTGAGTCAACTGGCGTGGTTTCGAATCCCCGGTTGTACGTGACAAGGAGTAGGGTCGCCTGTCCAATCTCGTGGGTTTTCTCCGGGTCCTCCGGTTTCCTCCCCTTGCTAAAGACCCCTACGCGCAAGCGAATTATTGAAAGAAAATAAAACCATATGTTAGTCCCGAAATGACCTAGTTTGTGTCGAGTGGACGTTAAACCCCATCTCTCTCTCTCTCTCTCTCTCTCTCTTAAAGCGGAGCCACGTTGACTCAGTAAGACGATCGCGTGTTCGATCTTTGTGTTGACAGAAAGTTTATCGCGATTTCCTGGCGTGGTCCCCCCCCCCCCCTGGTCCTAGTGACCTAGTTTGTGTCGAGTGGACGTTAAACCCCATCTCTCTCTCTCTCTCTCTCTCTCTTAAAGCGGAGCCACGTTGACTCAGTAAGACGATCGCGTGTTCGATCTTTGTGTTGACAGAAAGTTTATCGCGATTTCCTGGCGTGGTCCCCCCCCCCTGGTCCTGGTGTACTACTGTGGGTCTGGCAAGGGTCAACATATAGCCGTTCGGATGGAGCAAAAACCGGCTCTCGTGTACACATTGGCGTTCATGTAAAAGAATCATTGACAGCTGAAATTCGATATAAGTGCAGGCCGTAATACCTTTTTTTAGGCGTCATTTCCCTCATATATGACGTATGCTCGTCTTCATTAGTCTAGTCGGGGCAGATCAGTAGGACGGTAACCCCCATTTCAATTTATGTTTAGAACTGTATTGTATAAATCTATTTGCCTCGTATCTTATATCTGATTTCAACACATCTGTGTTTAACCAGTTAAGTGAGTTTGAAAGGAAATGTAATCTTAGGTAGATCACTTTACGGCGACCATGACTCTATTTTGCATGTGTTTAAGTCTAAAACGTAATTTTACAAAATCGTTTTTTCTTGTATCATGAAAATTGATTTGAACACATTTGTATTGACTTAAGACTGTTATCAATAATATGATTTCATAATGAAATGTCCGTTTATTTGTGTAAATTCTATCTGGTATAACGGAATCTATAAAGTTGTATACAACCAATTGGTACATTAAGGTTAAAAAGAATTTGTTGAAGATAACATGCAAGTCTGCATACCACTGCGTTACCTTTAATAATACATTTTATAATACCTTGTAGGCGTCCAAAATATTAAATATTGCATTTGGAAGGAATAAGCGATCAGTGTGCGTATACATTTAATCTGTGAAATTGAAAACGTGGCCATTTCACGAACCTGTCCCGAGTACAATAACCCATTGAGATAAAACATCAAGTTAAAAGTAACAAACAAAACATAAGACAGGCATAACATTATTGTTAGGTTTACTATGTGTTCGTTCATGAGGTTCGTTAATTCCATGACATGGTCAGGTTTTCAATTGCTTATTGAATGGAATGGGTAATTTCACAAGATGCACGTTTCACTTTTGTCCTCAAAACAAGAAATTCAGAGAAAAGAATGATTATTATTGCGAAGTGAAATGAAATAAAATGGGTTTAACGTCCTACTGTTTTGCCCCGATTGGGCTAATGGGACAGAACAGTTGGACGTTAACCCCATTTCATTTCATAAAAATTTTTTAATTAAGAAAATAAGTAAACCACAAATTCATCTGAGTTTCCATATATTTTCAAGATTAACCGACTATTGATCAAACGAGATGTCGACGTAGCATTGTTGAATGTAAATATATACTTTGTTGGTAAACCAACTAAATTGATATCCCCATCAGGTCATCGGAGCTCTAACGTACAAACAACAGTATTAATATCAGCAGCTGCTTCTCCGATTAACCAGGTTCTGGATCGATTTAAATGATTTTCTCCGAATTTCCCAAGAAGACTAGAACAATAATTCCATTAATTTTGAAACTACTGATATTTTTGACAGCATCCTATTTGAAAAGTCCCAATTCATAGTTTGAAATTAACTGAGACTACGGGCGACTGTAACGTAGAAAATCCCTTTCAATATTAAACTGGAACAAAGTGAGCGAGACTGTAACAAAACTTGTCTGAATCCGATTCAGGGGGACATAACTCGCCTTAAACAGATTCTTTATCGGCACTTTTGAGAGGTTTTCCTCGTTACAGGGACCTGTGACCAAAACAACACCACGCATTAAATACAAAAGTACAAAAACATGTGCCATCGCATTATATAGAAGCAGTATTTTGGGAGTTAAAGCATTGTTATGACGCCATCCTTTGTCTTTATAATCCATTATAATAATATGGTGGAATGTTTCACCAAGTCCTAAACCCCTTAAAATGTCCTCACGTAACTGTCAAGCATATTTACCCTTTAACTGTCCACTATTAAAGCATGGGGGTTAGGGTGCCACCGAACTCTAGCTGGCCGGTCACCTATTACTTGCGGTTGTGCTTTCGATCCCTGGTGTGAGCTAATGTGGCTTGGAGATAGGCGCTTATGTGGCTTCTCAGATGCAATTAGAAAGCCGGTGTTTGTGTTGCAATTGTAAATTAAAACGCATAAAATACTGAAAACTATAAAATACAGTATATATAGAGAGAGGGAAAACTGTAAAATACAGTATATATATATATAGAGAGACAGAGGGGGGGGATCTCAAATACAGTATATATATAGAGCTGGAAAACTGTAAAATACAGTATATATATAGAGAGAGGGGGAAAACTCCACAATACAATATATATATATAGAGAGAGAGAGAGGGAAAACCATAAATTACAGTGTATATATATATATAGAGAGAGAGGGGGGGGGACTGTAAAATACAGTTTATATATAGAGGGAAAACTAAAAATTACAGTATATATATAGAGAGAGAGAGATTAGGGAAAATTATAAAATACAGTATATATAGAGAGGGAAACTATAAAATACAGTATATATAGAGGGAGGGGAAACTATAAAATACAGTATATATAGAGGAAGGGGCTATAAAATACAGTATATATAGAGGGAGGGGAAACTATAAAATACAGTATATATAGAGGAAGGGGCTGTAAAATACAGTATATAGAGGGAGGGGAAACTATAAAATACAATATTGCCTAATAAAGTAATGTGCTTGGTGGACGAATAACATTAGCCCTAAACACGTTTATAAGGAAACCCGAGTACCCATGTAAACATTAGCATGCACGTAAAAGATCCCCTGGGAGTTATGGTGTATGTTAGTCGTCAATAGCAAGTGCCTGGCCTATCAATCGGTTTATCAGGTTCATAACAATCGCCTGTCTGAAGCCAATCAAATATCGAGTTTGGTCACTATTCCAATACGTCCATAGCCAAACTCTTTCCCAGCAAAGTTTTCTAGACCAAAAGTATATATGAAAACGCAGTCTTTTGACACTGTAAATATTGATAACGCAATCCGAAGCCAATCCACTATCGAGTTTGGCCACGATAGCCAGAATCTTTCCTAGCAACGTTTTCTAGACCAGCAATAAATATGAAAATGCAATTTTTTGACACTGTAAAGCTGTTGAGAACGCATGCCAGGTATAAAACTGCTAAAGAAACACCAAGCCAACCACATGGATTGATTTTTGGCAGAAGTATCAATTTTTTGAGAATGCACTATGTTAATACAGGTGAATAATTTTCGATAATTAATATGACAATGCAAGCTGGTTATTTTTTTTATTACTGTCCAAATAAGCCCATATGACGCAATACATAAGAATATATAAAGAGGGCTGTCGAATCTGTGAATCAGTGAAGAAGCAGACTGATACTCAAGATGTTCACAAAGATTATAGTGGTTGTGTTGGTGGTAGCTCAGCTGGTTCTTGGTAAACACGTTGATATAAAGGTAAATCTAATCTTTCGTGTTTAAAAGATTGGCAGATATGGAAAGTTTTGCTGGTGGTAGCCAACGTTGTTCTGGGTAAACGGTTAATCTGTGATTTTGTTTGCTAAAACTTTAATCTAAGCAGTAGGGGCGAAGTAGGGTTTAAGCTGTCAACGGGGACCAATTTTCTAGTAGGCTACCAGTTCATTTCAATTTTACTTCTTATATTATTGTTTTAAAAATAACAAGCCAAGCAGATTGTATTTTAATTAAGCCAACGAACATACAAAGACTGTATGTGTGTATGCGAGATGTGAAACGGAGTAGATCCGCATTACAAAACAATATATACTCTTCAAAAAAGTAGGGGATATTCAGAAAAGATACAGAACTGCGGAAATGCACTACTGTTTTTATTAGAGGTAACCAGTGTATGTTAATAACAGGCCAATTGCCTACACACGAACATAAACAGTTCATATGGGCGTCTTATCTGACCGCCCCATTTCACTCGCAAAGAGATACACCGTCAAAAGTGAAAATGGACGTTTTTGATTTTTGTATTAATAATGAGTAATTGCTCCACCAATCCTCAGACATTCAGCCATTCGCCGTGGCATGCTCCTAACCAACCGTCCAATCACGATTTGGGGCAATCTGACCCACTCCTCTTGCAGTGCCACGGCCAATTCTTGCAGTGTTGTCGGTTGACGTTGACGTCGACGAACACGTCTCCCGATCAAATTAAACGTAACACACTAAAGCAAAGATACGCTAAAATGTTCTTCATCAAAACATGTCAAATGTCCATGAATATTTATCATATCGCAACCTGCATATTTGCATTTCAATATCCCCTACTTTTTTTTTAAGAGTATACTATCTTTTCGATATGGCGTCTATTCAGGACAACGATTTATTCTCGAAGCATGAAGCAGATGGACCTCTGTGTGCAGAATTACATTGGTGTTAACCGTTTACCCCATAGTGGTGTTTATGTGTTTGGGGGAGGGGGGCACGTGCGCGCTGTATCATGCGGTCTATCATTGAGTCAACTGGCGTGGATTCGATTCCCGGGTTGGGTTGCCTTTCCAACCTCGTAGATTTTCTCCCGGTCCTCCGGTTTCCTCTCACTGCGCAAGCGAATTGTTGAAATAAAACTGAACCATGTGTTAGTCCCGAAATGACCTAGTTTGTGTCGTGTGGACGTTAAAATTGAACTATATGTTAGTCCCGAAATGATCCATGTGGTGTCGAGTAGACGTCAAACTCCACCATCTGTCTCCCCTCTCTCTCTCTCTCTCTCTCTCTCTCTTGTGTTGTTAACTATTTACATTATGTTGTTTTGAACTGATTGCCTTTTAACTGTTTACAGCATGTTTCTTTGAACTGTTTACAGCATGTTAATTTGAACTGTTTACCTCATGTCGGTGCTACCCGTTTTACAGCATGTGGTTTTGAACTGTTTACCGTTTGCTTTATTTATATTATCTTGTAATGGTTAGAACTGTTTGTGGTTTGAACTTCACCCCACTTTGTTATATAAACTGTTTACCACACAAAAACCAAGTAAGATGACTGGGTATAGATTCCGTAATGAAAACATTCTTTTAGACCCGACGAGATCGTTGCATCAGCTGAACTAATTCTATACATATTATATTTTAGGGCATAGACGAGAATTTAAGACTTAAAAGATATGGTAAGTTTTTCACATAAGCATGAAACCGTTACTTTATTTTTTAAACTTGTGCATTGATAAAATTGGTTTCAGACTGGAATGTAAGCGTTTGTGGCATCACCAGTTGGACGATCGCTGCGAGCTGGAATACAATATGATACTAATGCAATCTGATTAAAACGCAGATCTATATTTTGTTTCGTTTATATACTGCCCATGGCCTCCACTACATGCAGATCTGTTCGCTTGTTGTTGGAGGTCAAACGAGCGGCCTTTCACATGTGGTGCCATATTTTTCGATTAACCACTCAGCGTAGTTGTTTCAAGTGGTCATTTGGAAATACAACGTTTGCTTTGATTTGTTTTCTATCGCTGCGAATGTCTACGCACAGTTCCACGCACAAGAACTCGCTCCAACACACCATTTTATTGCCTATTCCCTAACATGAACCTCTTCCAACTCCAAGGGGATGCTCGATTGAACCTTCCGGAATTAAATTCTGTCAAACCCAAAAATACTGACAATCGAGTGAAAATGGGGCTAGAACGCATGCGCCGACTGCATGAGAAAATATCTCAACCAACCATGACAGCTGAAACATATTCGTTGTGTTTAATTACGTCATGATTCCACTCGCACCGCTTCCATTGTCGGGACTGACAGAAGTGTGACAGGACTGAATTGCGCGTCACTTGGTTGCAATTCCGTCAATTCTGAACTTTCCGGACTCACATTCGAACATACCCCTGCTGTAGTTAAGACGAGTAACGGGAACTTTTGAACTATAAAAAACGAAACGAAATAACATTTGTACTTTAATCAGATTGAGGTTACAGACCCCCCCCCCCCATTTTCTTTCTATATATATGTTAACAAACGGTAATGACGACTCACATCAAGTTAAGGCAGGAGTTAGTGACATGAGATGAGATAAATTGTTAATGAATATCAGACGTGACAGCATATTGCACGAAAGTGTAAACTTAGTGTACCGAACAATGCCGATACAAAACGCAATACAAAGTCAAATGTCAAGACTTCGGTGGAACGGTAGGACGTTAAACTCCATTTCATTTCATTTCATTTCCGAGACTGTACAGCGTAGTGGAAGCTTGATCTGATAAATACTTTTATTTATTGTTTGACATGTCTGTGTGGTTTATGTTTGCCGTTTGGTGTGGTCGTCCTGCACGTATTGATATTATATAACTAACATATTGTTGTTTTATTTTTGAATTTAAAGTTATTTCAGCAAATGCGACACTTAACTTGAATGTGGATAGCGACCACGCGATTCAGTCAGGTTAGTTCATATTATCATCTACCTAATATCCACCGATTTCTTGATTGTGATAGTGACAGCGTATATAAACTAAAATTTCCTGCCGTGATATTGTCTGTCAAAGGGTTGGGGGGGGGGGTCTTATGGACGCCGATAAATACCCCCACGCTCCTTCAACGAGGTGCAAAGGAGAATGAGAAACTGAGACAATTAATGATTATAATCTTGCTCCTTGCACGAAGTCAACAAGCAAGAAATGAACAAGACGCAGATAAGACGTGAAGGCATGAAGGGGTGAGTGGGCACTTATCGGCTTCCATAGTTTTTATATGTAGTACCTTTGTCTCTGTGTGACTAACCCTTACCCCATTCCTGTAAGTTATATTAGTAACTCACTATAAGCAGATTAATTTATATTGCTTTGTTAACAGAGACTACCGACTATTCATGCAGTAATGTTGACTGTCAAAACGGTGGTACTTGTTTGTACGGAATGTGTCTCTGTACAGCAGAATATATGGGGGTTGTGTGTGATGAACCCTTGTCTCAGTCTTGTAAGTTTTAATTAAATCTTGAATACATGTTATAAACTGAGACCAAATTAAAACGCACCTCCCATTTGTCTGCAAGTGCTGGCAAGGCATAATTCAGCTAAGTTGTAATTTTGGAAGTGTTGGCGAGGAATAATGCACCTAAGGTGTAATTTTTGAAGTGCTGGCGAGGCATAATGCAGCTAAGGTGTAATTTTGAAAGTGCGGGCGAGGCATAATGCAGCTCAGGTGTAATTTTGGAAGTGCTGCGAGGCATAAGATGTAATTTTTCGCATGATTGGAGCTGGGCATTTTTCCGACATAAGAGCTTTACTGAACAGCGAAACGTAAAAATCAAATGAAAATAACGTGTGTGTCCATAGCAGTAACACATGCCAATGTGATAGGCCCTGCTTGTGGGACCTTTACCCACTCTCGCAATGATACTTACAGTTGACGTACATGGTGCACCTGGGGATCCTGGCGATGTTCACGATTATCTTACAAATGCTCGATTATGCCACGTTGCTTTGGTTTACGCGCGAATGTCATCATGCTGAAACGTGTGACGATCTTGATGGCGTTGGTCCAACGTACGACCACCTTGTTTTATTACTAAAAAAACCCAAAAGATTGTTGCGTTGAATAAGTATTTTACCGGGAAAGGGGCATACAAAACACGGCCTGTATTATTAGAGGGCCAATGTGTCAATATTTACCAATCTGGCTTATAGAGATCCCGATAGACTGAAAGCGAAATAATCTACGGTAACTTATTAAACATGTCACTGCCTGTTATGAAATGGCCAGGTGGTTGTATTTAGTCATAGGGTTCTCTTTAAAACAAAAGTTGTTTCTAATATTAGTTGAACGAAGTCGTGGTGGCTTAGTGAGTAAGACGTTGACTCGCTAACCGGCTCGATTCCCGCTTGTTAGTGGGGACGCGTCGATTGGGACGGAAACCGAGGTCCCGTGTACACGTTGGAGCACACGTAAATGAATCCTTGATGGAATTCGATATAAACTAAGAGTGGGCCTTAGCGCAGCTGTCCAGGCCAAATTGTCCTCAAAGCAAACTGTGTGGTGTTTGCACGTCTTCATTAGCCCAGTAGGAGCAGAACAGTAGGACGTTAAACCCCATTTCATTTTTTTGCTTTTATATTTGTTGATAGCTACTTATGACGATTATTCATGTAGTGGTGTAGTCTGTCAAAATGGTGGTACTTGTTCATATGGATATTGCCTTTGTACATCAGCTTACTATGGAGAGTTTTGTGGTAAGTTTTACAAACAACTTTAGAGAAAGCTTTTGTATAAGAGATAGTTTTAAAATGTTTAACGTCCACACTACACAAACCAGGTAATTTCGGGACTGACATATGGTTCAATTTAATTTCAATAATTCGCTGGCACGGTCTTTAGCCGTGGGAAGATATCGGAGGACCCTACTCCTTGTCACGTACAAGCTCGAAACCACGCCAGTTGACTAAATGATAGACCTTGTGAACCAAAGCACACGCGTTGGATCACTCGGCCACTCAATTTCACCTTTTTGTTTAAGAACACAACAGATTATTTCGATTGCTACGTTTATAAACAGTTTAACGGAAAAAGAAACACCAAACAGAATAAAAGAAAAATAATGCACGTTGTCTTGTAATGATATGCCTCTTTCGTTATAATAGTCGGGTTTTTAAAACCGGGGGGGGGGGGGCATATTATTTGTGGGCAATCGACAATAACGAATACTCATGTTACTTGTACGCACCAAATGCCAAATTTGTTGGATCACGTGGCTAAGTGGGTAAGACGCTGGCTCGCTAGCCTGGAGGTCGGGTGTTCGATCCCTGCATTGGCCGAGAAAGTTCATCCCGATTTTCCGGCGTGGTTTCCCCTTGTCAGTGATGCAGGACGGAGGGTCTGACAAGGACAGCTGTCTAGTCGTTCGGATGGGACGAAAAACCGAGGTCCCGTGTACACATTGGCGTGCACGTAAAAGATCCCTTGACAGTTGGAATTCGATATAAGAGTAGGCCGTGGAGCCGCTGCCAGGGCAAAATTTCCCTCATAGCACACTGTATGGCGTATGCCCGTCTTCATTAGCCCAGGTTAGGAGCAGAACAGTAGGACGTTAAACCCCATTTCATTTCATTTCCAAATGCCAAAGAAGGAGACCAGATTACTTGTGGCTATGAAATCATCCCAATCGCTTTATATGCATACAGAAGCATTTGTTTTATCGAAATCAACTTTTATCAGAAACAAAGCTTTGTAAATCTTTAACGTATCATAACAAAAAGAGAATATTATAACAGTAAAATGTGCTCTGTCATTAAACTAAAGTAGAAACAAGAAATAAAAAACACAGAAGTTTTAACTCTTTTACCATAAAGGTACCGCCACCTGCCTATCGTAGCATGATTTATCGAACAGAACCTTTGTACAACCCTGTCGACAAAAAGTTAGATTCATCGAAAACAACCTTTAATGAAAACTAAATTTGTAAACCACCAAGACATCATGACTAAAACGCCTATTATTAAAGGACAATATTGGTGTCAGTCATTATCACATAATTATGTGATAGAACTGATTAAACACGTTCCAAATATACTTTTAACACAGAGAGCATTGCTACGATAGATGAGTAATACAGTTGTCATGAATTGTCAGATATCCTCTCGCATTCTCACACAACATTAGTGAGCAGAAATACGGCCGTGTATCTGTTATCACTCGTCACTTCAGTCAGTTATATAGAGGGATAACTCGTGTTTTCCTTTGGCGTTTGTCACTTCCGATTCATGACACCTGTATTACTCATATATCGTAGCAATGTGTTTAACCAGTTCTATCACATATGTGATAATGACTGACACCAATATTGTCCTTTAACCGATTTTCCTATACCACTTCTCGTTCATGAGTCTCCGTTATATAAGTTATACACTGCTAATATATGAATTTATAATGTTTTGTTGACATATAATATTGAAAAATCCTGCAGTATTAGCGTAGACTGTCAACATATCCCGATGAATATTCTCTGTGGTCATATATAAGGGAACAGGAGAGGCAAAAATGCCTAAGTTTTAAATCTATTAAGATCAGATTACTTCTGGTTACTAAACCCTCTTTGTAAATGAATAAAGCACCATGCCAAAAACACACGTGACTATTTTGTTCTTGCCTCTTCTCTTTATACGTCCACGTCATATATATGTTAATCCCTACTAATAGATTAATATATAATATGTTTTGGCAGAAAATGCTAGCCCTTACTGCAAAAATGGTATGCTCTGTCAAAACGGTGGTACCTGTTCAGATGGAATGACGTGTCTCTGCACACCTGAATATACGGGGGAGTTTTGTAATGAACCCTTTTTCCCACCTGGTAAGTTTTATATCAGTATAGCTTCAGTTTGTTATATTTCATTAACATTTGCTGTAAAGGGTGCAGGGTGAGTACCTATAGCAAAGCGCTTTGGTTTTTTCTATTGACAAAAGATATGATTAATCGAAATCAACAGCGAATCATTTGAAGCATCATGCCACCGAATGTCTATTATTAGTTTACTAGCAGGATACCCGGCTTCGCTCGGGGGTCATAACTCCGAAACCGGAAGTGGTAGACTAACGCCACCTGGTCTATGTTACTCCCCGGTCCGAGCTACCCCTATACCCTAAATTTCATACTGCGGGGCAGACCTAGTGTAGCCGCCAACCCCGAACAGACCGGCTTCGCTCGGGGGTCATAACTCCGAAACCGGAAGTGGTAGACTAACGCCACCTGGCCTATGTTACTCGCCGGTCCGAGCTAACCCTATACCCCAAATTCAGACTCGGGGCAGACCTAGTGTAGCCGCCAACCCCGAACAGACAGACTTCGCTCGGGGATCATAACTCCGAAACCGGAAGTGGTAGACTAACGCCACATGGCCTATGTTACTCCCCGGTCCGAGCTACCCCTATACCCCAAATTTCAGACTCGGGCCAGACCTAGTGTAGCCGCCAACCCTGAACAGACCGGCTTCGCTCGGGGGTCATAACTCCGAAACTGGAAGTTGTAGACTAACGCCACATGGCCTATGATACTCCCCGGTCTGAGCTACCCCTATACTCCAAATTTCAGACTCGGGCCAGACCTAGTGTAGCCGCCAACCCCGAACAGACCGGCTTCGCACGGGGGTCATAACTCCGAAACCGGAAGTGGTAGACTAACGCCACCTGGCCTATGTTACTCCCCGGTCCGAGCTACCCCTAGACCCCAAATTTTAGACTCGGGGCAGACCTAGTGTAGCCGCCAACCCCGAACAGACAGACAGACAAACGACAGTCACAAATATATATATATAGATAGATAGATTATAAGTATCCGTATTACAAGTCATAGATTAATTTATAATGTTTATTTACAGTAAGTACTGATAATTATTGTGGTAATATTATCTGTCATAACGGTGGTTTATGTATGAACGAGGTGTGTAATTGTATAGGAGAATATGGCGGAGAGACGTGTGATGAACTTGTTCCATATGGTAAGTATGTATCCTAGCGCCAGTATAATTTTGTTTAATGTTCGATCACCAAAACTGTAGGGAGTAAATGTCTAAATGATTTTAGGCTAAACACTAAAATGTAAGCAGATAACTGGTGCGTTGAATGACCAGAGTTTGTCCTTGTGTTGTTGTGGACTAACACTACGGCATAGTTTACAATTTATGTGGATGTTTGAATCGTATAAGTTTATTAGCCCTGGTGATATTGGGATACCACATTGACGAGTTTTCACCCAATAATTACCCTGCCAACACCGGGATCGACCCCGAGACCCAATATTTAGCATACTTAACTTACGCTATCTGTCTACAGACACTAAGCTAGTTGAATGATATCAACGCTGCCCGTCTACAACTAGCTGGGCTTGAGAACAGACACTAAGCTAGCTGGCCGACATCTTAAGTTCAAGATCGACGTTTTTAGTCGAAAACACTAAATATATATTTTGAAATTTTTTTATTATGTTTTCATTTAATAAAATTGAAAAGTTTTAATTAGTTTGTGTATAACCTAGTAGGACCGCAATACAAAATAGTATATCTTTGGATATGGTGTCCATTTAGGTAAGAGATCTTTTTGCGAAGTAGAGTAGATAGTTCTGTGTTTGCAGAATATCTATTTAGTAATTAAAATTATGAATTACAATTACCATGACCTGGCCCTAACCCTAGCATATTGGTGATCCGACCCTAACCCTAGGAAAATTAAGTTACAATGGTTTTTGGTATTTAATTATTATACGAATTGTCCCAATAACAAATTGCACCTCCCTAACCCTACATGTAAACATGTATCAGTAATAATGTTTGTGAGATTTTCTTTAGGCAATGATTATTTATGTGACTATGTGAACTGTCATAATGGTGGGATCTGTATGGACGGGATTTGTGAATGTCTACTGCCATTCGCGGGGCCTTTATGCGAAGACTTCCAATGGTAGTCTGGTAAGTTGTATGTTAATCTCCATCCAATAATATACAAATAAATGGGGTTTAAAGTGTTACTTTTCTTTCCCAACTGTTCTGCTCTGACCGGGCTAATAAGGACGGGCATACACCATACGGTATGCTATGGGAAATTTTGACCGGTCAGTGGCGCAATGGCCTACTTTCATGTGGCATTGCAGCTGTCAAGGTTTCATTTACGTGCACGCGAATTTATTACCTTTTGTATTTTGAGAGTACCACAAGGGCAGGTATCAGGACCTTTATAATCCAGAGCACTTAGAATTAGTGGGATCAAGTTCAGTTCAAATAATATATCATTCTATGTGTAATGTGGGGTCACGTGTACACGTTGACGTACACGTAAAAGAACCCTTGGCAGGTGGAATTCGAAATAAATGTAAACCGTATCGCCGATATACTGACAAAATTTCCCTCATACAACATTCTATGGCATATGCCCGTCTTCATTAGCCCAATCAGTGCAGAACAGTAGGATGTTTACCCCATTTCATTTCATTTCTCTGCAATGTTCAGCTGTGTGGGTGCGGTTTCGGCTGTTTTGGACAGAATAAGCAACACCTGTCTCGGGCACGACAAAGGCCACACATTGTAATAAAATTGGCCAGAGATGAGTATTTAGAATGTATGATAATTGTCTTGTCTTTGCTGTGGTTATGGTTATTTTGATAACTAAGTGAACATGTATCTTAGAATGTTATACATTTGTTTTTTTTGACAGATATGCTTTTCTAATGGGCCTGTATATTCGACAACTATATGAAAGAACCATTGGTCACGATGCAAAGTATTGAAAATAAATCATGAACCAAAGACTTGACTCTTTTTTTTTTCATTTTTAAAAAAGAACATGGATTTTATTAGTGTACATTGACGTGACTTCTCATCCCATAATGTATTTGCAAGATTATGAAGCAGTTTCATATCATTCCACATCATCAATATTTGATACAATTTATTCCGGTTATAGGATTTTTTATTGGTGTAATAATCAACATCAACATGCACGTCGTCGTGTTACGTTTCTGGAATGGCGTTAAACGTCCTACTTGTCTTCTCCGACTGGGCTAATGGAGACGTTCATACTCCATACAGTATGCTATGAGGGGAATTTTGCCTGGGCAGCGGCGCACACCAATGTGTACATGGGACCTCGGCTTTTCGCCCCTTCCCCAAGACTATACCTTGTCCCTGGAATGGGTACTGGAATATGTTCCTTCTTCCGGTTTTTTTTACTGAGATGATTGTTAGATCTTGTTGGCATAGTCTCGTTTATCTTCTTCATACATGTCTAATTGTCGTTGCTGGGGACAAAAATTAGGACAATGAATTTAAATCACCCGTGGTGATTTGTTGAAACAGATTTAAATCGCCTGTCGTTATTGGATGAAACAAATTTAAAGCACCAGCCTGTATCGGATGAAACTGATTGATTTAAATCACCAGTCCCTAGTAGAGGAAATATATTTAAATCGCCAGCTTCTATTTGAGGAAACAGATATGAATCACCAGCCTCTGTTGGGGGGAACAGATTTGAATCGCCAGCTTCTATGGGGGTAAACAGATTTAAACCGCTAGTTTATTTTGGGGGGAGCGGTGGACAAATTTAAGTCCCAGCCTCTATTGGGGAAACATATTTAAATCACCAGTCTCTATTTGGGGAAAAAGATTTTAATCACCAGCCCATATTGGCGGTAACATTTAAATCACAAGCGTCTGTTTGAGGAAATGGATTTAAATCACCAGTCCCTATTGGAGGAACTGGATTTAAATCACCAGTCGCTATTGGGGGAAACCGATATAATTCACCAGCTTCGTTTGGAAGAAACAGACTTAAATCATCAGCGTCTATTGGGGGGGGGGGGGAATAAATCATATTTAAATCCCAAGCCTCTGTAAAAGTGTACATGCATAATTAAATACATCACCAACTTTAGTGGGAGAGAGAGATGAGGTTTAATGTCCACTTGAGACAAATTAGATCATTTCGGGACTGACATAATAATATGGTACAATTTACTTTATTTACATAATTGGCTTCTGCGTAGGGGACTTTGGCAGTGTGTGGGGAGGGTGTCCTGAGAAAAACCACAATAACAGACCTAATGGTCTAAAGTTAACACATCAGATCATTCGGCCACCCACCGGCTAGGTGAAACAAACATTTTGGCACAAGACACATAATTACTTTAAATGTATAAGCAAGAACAAAGAATAAATAATGTATCGTAAATGATTATTCTAAATTTATTCAAAATTATGTATAAAAAAAATAACAATAACAATATAATAGATTAAAATATAGGCATATTTGTATAATATTATTATTTAAAAATCACAAACTATATCATTAAATATTGGGGATATCTGTTATTTAAAAAGTACAAATTATATCATTAAATACCATTATTATTTTTAATTCACGGCGTAAAGATAAAGTTTCTGTGGCGTGGAAAATGTGCCATAGCTGTTCAACAAATTTGCCAAAGATTTATACGACAATGAATAGTTGTCTAAAATTGGCATGAATTGACATATAAACTTGAACAAATTGACCATATAATGCATCTTTTGCGTCATCACATAGAAACTTTTATCATGTTGTTTATTAACACGACCAAACATGACATCACATGGAAACTTTATCACGTTGTTTATTAACACGACCAAACATGACTTCATATGGAAACTATATCACGTTGTTTATTAACACGACCAAACATGACATCACATAGAAACCTTACCAAGTTGTTTATCAACGCTGTCAAACATGCCATCACGTAGAACCTTTTATCACGCTGTTTTTTACACTGTCAAACATGCCATCGAATTGAAACTTTACCAAAAGGTACAGAAAGTATAACATATTTTCACTGACACGGGGGAAGTGTTCACTGTCATGTTGCTTTTACCACAGAAAGCATGACCGTATAGATTTAGCTTAAATTAACATGATTTATATATACACATGTAATACTTGTTAATTATAGACACATACATATGGTATTATTTGCAAAGTTCCAAAAAATTAAACTTATAAATGAATACTATAAAGTACACGTGCTGCCAATCAGATTTGTATCATACTGAGGTAAATATATATGTATTGACATGTGGGAGCGAAAGGAATACTCATAGCATGATGGTTTTAGCTCTTAGAAGGACCTTAAACAGGCATTGTGTAACAGATAATTCTGTCTATTGCAAGTCTGTCTTTATTAAGGCATTGAGTGTTACATAAATTATTAATTAGACAATAATTAACATGGCAAGATCATAATCGACTTTTGATGTCAATGGATGGCTCCGATTTAAAGTTGATTAAACAGTTCGCCCATTTAATGATTTAATTTAAAAATAGATAATCAAGACTTTGTTTATTATCTTTACAGCCGTAGCAATGACAATCGGGGCGACACTATTCTTCTAACGGCGATAACTCGACTACACGTGAAGTAATTTGACTGAAATTTTCAACATATTGCCTTTTCATTATCTATTTGTGACTAGTATAGCGAGAGCTGTTAGCTCTTTATCTAAATCTTACATAAAGTACCTATAATAAGTATTTCGTATACACATTTATTATTATTATTGCTTTGGTCATTTCAAGTAAACTTATTCTTAATTACAGATCACCCTTACTATAAAAATAACACTAGATACTAGGACCTGAAATTCTGATTATATTAAAAATAACTAATTCAATTTCAAACTAATCAACAGTAAGATATGAGGATACTAGACTATATAATAAAGCTATATATGAACACAGGTCTAGCGAGATGGACGGGGAGGAGCCCTGAAGTCCAGATAGACCAAGAGAACCCGTGACAAGGACGCATAGAATAATAGTTTGCTTCGTCAATACTATCACTGTTATCTCACCTATATTCAGTGATGTTCAGCCCACTGCCAGTTAAAAATGCGGCTTTCTTAAAATATTTCAGCTTGACCGATTAACATCAATAACATTATAATCACTAGCCGGCGATATTTACTGGATTAGGATCCGATTTGCTGCTCAACTTTCATTCATGATTTAATCATGCAATGGATAATCGAGACTATGTTTTTTTTATCCTAACCACCGATGATCGAGGCTAGGCCGAATATTCAGTCGCTAAATTCTCGGTTCAGAGTGGAACAATTTGTCTAAAATTTTCAGCAAATTCTCTTTACATTATCTAGTTTTTAACTATTATAGTGAGAATTGCCAGATCTTTATCTAATCTCTCATAATGTATCTTTAATTAATTATATTAATACTATTCTCACATTGAGAGCTAAAACTTTTTAAATGTCTTTATAATGCTGTAAATGTAAAAGTTAAAGCACAAGTTGCCTAAGTCATTTTTGAAAATAAATACGGTAGACACAATTGGTCAAATTGGTTTTATTTTAAACCTCTAGTAACTGAACCTGATGATAAATATTAAAAGACACCATGTTATTTGGTATTTTTGTAAACCTCAGTGACGCTATCTTGAAAAATACTATTACACGAGGGCATCCTAGAATGTCTTCAGGTTATAAAAAATAATGCAATTCGGCCGTGAAATAAAATGTTTATGAACAGAGTTTTGTGTTGTTTGTAAAAAGTGTTGAAATGACTTTGCATGTTTCCTTTTGCTTCACGATATCCGTGTCGTTTGTGTATTTGTTTATCAATAGTTAGTTTATAATGATATCATTTAACCAAGTATTTCTAATGATATGATTCAACCTAATATTTCTAATGATATCATTCAAACAAAGTAATGAGCACAAATTCTCTAAGTAATAAAAGCACCAATCAGTAAGAAACAATCATATACATAAAAATTTGACAATTAAATACAAAATATTAACTACATTCCCATTGCCTCTATTTAAAATTACACACATACCGCAATTAAGAAAAAACTGCAGACCAAAATCACTTTGGCAATAACATAAAATATTATGAACTTACTAGATTCCCATTTCCTCAATATAAAATTACATACATACCGGAATTACGAAGAATCTGCAGACCAATTTCACTTTGGTAAAAGCATAAAAAATTATGAACTAGATTCCCATTTCCTCAATATAAAAATTACACACATACAAGAACTAAGAAGGACCTGTAGACCAATTTCACATTGAGTTTTTATTTATATTTCATTCAATTCTAAGTTCCTACAAATTAGAGATAAATGAGTTACCAAATATAATTCAGCACTGTTTATAGCGTTTGTCCGAGTTTGTCGTCACAAATCCAATGTCTGGATTGAGCCCATTCTGCACACTGAGATCAATCAACTTCATTCTTCAGGAATAGATCTCTGCCCTGAATGGAAGCCATATCCAAAAATTAGTATTGTTTTGTAATGTGGTTCCACTACGTTTCACATCTCTCATACACACAAAGACTAAATAAATATATTCAATACCAATTAATGGAAGCAGAATAAATACATCTTAAAATTCTCGAAGTATACTTGACGTTTTTTTTCGGCTAAAATCATCGATATAAAACTTAAAATGTTGGTCAACTAGTGTCTGTTCGCAAGCAAGCTAATTGTAGACAAACAGCCTAAGTTTAGTATGGATTGAGCAGATTGTGATTTCTAATGATACTTTACTGAACTTTAGAAATGCGAATGACATTTGTATGATAAAGACCAAGGAATCAATGTCAAAAACAAACTGATTAAAACACAGATCCTATTTCGTTTCGTTTTTTATAGTTCAAAATTTCGTTTTACTTGTCTTTATTTTACTAGGATCTGGAAGAGTTGTTATATAAACCTCATTCTAGTTGATAGCCAATGAAATGGATATTCTATTGAATACAATTACTGCTTATTTCTAAGCATATGACAAATAAATAAAATATGACAAGACAATATATTTATGAAAATGTCACTATGTAATAAACAGTAATTGTACTCTATAGAATTGTGACCTGTATATTGCAGTTCAATTACTAAGTGCCACTGAAACAATTTAATAAATAGGTATTTAACATATAGCAACATTTTCTCGAAATAATGATGTCATTAGATAATTAGATAATAATTAATCAAATTCTGATATTTACAGAAAATAATGACATCACAAGATATTTGGCGTCAAATACTGTGTAACTCTTTTATCTCTAATTCCCTGTTGATTTGAATAATTAAATTCTTAAATTTATTATGTTTATAGATGCAGAATTTAATATATCTTCTGTTGTACTGCTGTCTAGCTATCATTTCAACAAACCCATCATTTCTAAACAAGCCTATAAATAAAAAGGAGACTAACATTTAGAAAGATTAATCAAACTTGTTGTCACCTAAACATCAAATATCATTAACCTGTGTTTACAGCTTATTTACAACCTATTATATAACTTATGGCCATAGAAACATTTTTTAACAACCAGTTGCTGTAGAAACCTCAAACAGCAGAGAGAGAGAGAGAGAAAGAGAGAGAGAGAGAGGGTTTAAGTTCATTCACACAAACTAGGCCAATTCATTAAGTCAACTGGCATGGTTTCGATTCCTGGATTTTGTCTGGATCCTCTGGTTTCCTCCCACTGCTAAAGACCCCTACGCGCAAGCAAATTATTGAAATGACATTGAACCGCATGTTAGTCCAAAAATGACCTAATTTGTGACGAGTAGACGTTACATCCCATCTGTCTGTACACCCTGCCTTATGCACATCATTAATCATTAATCTGATGCATATTTTACTTTACCTGAGTTAAAGTGTATTTAGCATTGTGTAGTTTTTCTACTATATTAAAATGATCTGTATCAGGAATGTCGTAGTATTTGGTTTTTACACCCTTATCTCGTAAACTCTATAATAATTAAAGAAAAGGAAATATAAGAATACATTATATTTTAGTTGCCTTTGGGAATCAGTTTAACCACATTAACACATTATAGCAGGCATAATTTTTCAGGGAGCCCCAGTGGCTCGGTTAGTAAGACATTGGCTCGCTAAGCTGGAAGTCCCATGTTTGATTCCGGTCACATGTTGGCCTATAAAGTTCATCAGGATTTTCTGGTGGGGTTCCCCCTTGTCAGTGGTGCAGGACAGAGTGTCCTGAAAATCGTTTGGATGAGACAGATAACTAAGGCCCAATGTACACATTGGCGTACACATAAAAACAAACATGCCGCTGTTGCACACTCATAGCACACTGTATGGCATATGCCCGTCTTCATTAGTACAGTCGAAGCAGAAAATTTTATTTCATTTCATAGTTTTCCATATATCTCTGTTGACCTGCAAAAAGCTCTTTAATTTGTACAAGTCGAATATCGCTCTCCTTAATCTCTGAAAAGTCAAAAATCTCTATCCTAAAAAAGCTGTCCCGAGTTTGGACAAGGTGAGATATTTGGTGAATGATGAGAGTTATAATTAATATAATGAATGAAATGGTGTTTAACATCCTACTTTTCTGCTCCGACTGACGACAGGCATACACCACACAGTGAATTCCAACTTTCAATGATTCTTTTATGTTCATGCTAATGTGTTCACAGGGCTTCAGTTTTTTCATCAAATCCGAATGATTATACACTGGCCCTTTGCCACGCTCTCTGTTCTGCATCACTAACTTGGGCAAACCTTGCTATATCATAATAAGAAGAGTACAAGATAAAGAACCTATACAGCCAGGAATTCATAAACAATTACACACTGACTATTAACCAATTCTCAAAGATATAAAATAAAAAATGATAATGATGGGGAGTGATTTCAGTTTCAAGTTTCAAGACAAAAATCCCTCCTCCATAGATATTCAGGTGGCCAACAACCAGTTTTGTCCATTTCTGGTGATTTCAATGGGTAGGTTTACAAGATGGTCTGATATGTAGACAATAATAACACTACACTTCCATTTCTTATGTCAATGATTCATTCAATGATTGTACTTGAGGTGGAAAAAGTTTGTTTCAGAACTTTTCAGCCACCCCTCAATAACTATAAACCGACATACTATATAACAGATTACAACTGATTGCATTCTTTTTTTTAAAAGGACAAATTTCTGTCTCTCCCTCTCTCCCCCACACCCTCTCCCCCACCACCAACACTTTCTCTCTATCCCTTTCTCACTCATGTCTCCATATACCTTTTCCATTTCTCCTGTTTGTCGTCTGAACTCTGGTGGATCATATTCCCCCACAGCTAAATTAATTTCTCTACTTTGGCACATTCTGGCAATCTCATTTATAAAATTACTAGGACTGAACCTCCAAGCATCCTCCCTAGAAGATACAATAACATGTACAAGAGTATTATATGAATCAGGAACTGGGCTGCCATTTTGGCTTTGTGATATTATATAAAGATAGGTTGCCAGGCAACGAAACATACGCCCACAACAGCTAAATCTTCCGGGCAGTCAACAAGAGTTGTCGCATTTTCTTACTTTTTTCAGTAATGAAACATTTATAATACACTAAAATCTGATTAACTCATGAAGTAGTTATCAGAAAACCATTAGAATTTGTTTGTTTTTTTATAAAATTCTGCCCCATGCTAACATTTTGTATACAAAACTTTTAATATCATGGATTTGTTCAAGTCATAAAAATTCATTGAAAATTAATATACTTGTTCGTCCACAAGATTTTTCAAAGTGATCAAGGGTCATAACTCTGGCAGTAATTATCGGAAATCGCTGAAAATCAATAGGATTCTTCGTCTCATGACCTTAAACACTGTGTATAAATTTAAGGTCAATCGGATATTAACTTTGGCCTCTAGAGCATCCACAAGATTTTTTGAAGTGATCAAGGGCCATAACTCTGGCAGTAATTATCGGAAATCGCTGAAAATCAATAGGCTTCTTCGTCGCAAGACCTTAAACACTGTGTATAAATTTAAGGTCAATCGGATATTAGCTTTGGCCTATAGAGCGTCCACAAGCAATTGTGGACGCCGGAGCGACGGGGGCGACGACAATATACGACCACATTTCAATGTGGGCGTATAAAAATCGATCCATCAATCCATCAATTTGGTATTGTCCAAGAACTTGAATTGGCAAAGCCTTAGGATTTTGTTAAAAGTGTGTCCCAAAGTCCCAAAGAGCAAAAAGAAGAAGACAAAGATTACCATGAGCAAAAAGAAGAAGAAGACAGAGATTACAAAGATGACCAAGAGCATAAAGAACAAAACAGAGATGACCAAGAGCAAGAATAATAACATAACAAAGATCATGAAGAGCAAGAAGAATAACAGGACAAAGATCATCAAGAGCAAGAAGAATAACAGGACAAAGATCATCAAGAGCAAGAAGAATAACAAGACAAAGATCACCAAGAGCATGCAAAAGATTTGAATAAACGTAATCATTTACCAACCTTGTCAGCTTAAGGGGCTCATTTATAGAAGTAGTTACCAGAGGTCGAAGGTCATATATACCACTAACTAAAACAGCTCCTGTAAATAGAAATAAACTCTGGAAATCTTCTCTCTTGATCTCTCGACTACCATGTTTCCATGGAATAACCTGATAACCATAGAGTCCATGTCTGCCTACTGGTTCGTCCTCAGCTTTTGGAGTTTTCAGATAATTAGCTAATTAGGCTATGCTAAATGAGGAAGTTTGACATGTCGACCATGGTGTCAAATTCTGTCTAGACCATCAGACACCCTAGTAATATAACTTACCACTCACCTTTGATAAGTTCACAATCAAAAGCATCATCTTCTTCAAATTCAGACGTCAACATCATGGCTGCAAGATGTGCACCAGCTGAATGACCACATAAATAAATACCACTAAAAATACAATAAGCAGATCAATCAGAGAGAGAGAAAAACACTAGGTCATTTCGGGTTGAAATCTATTTCAAGAAGTCACATGGGGATCTTTAGCAGAGGGAGGAAACCCACGAGCTTGGACAGGAGACCCTACTACTTGTCACGTAAATGTGGGTAATCAAAACCACATGACTTGGTTATCCAATGAGCACTGTTAACCATTCGCGCCCCACCCCTTCCGATAACTCAGATAAACCTACACCATTAGACCAGAGAAGTGTTACTCATTTTCAATAAAAGTCGTGCAGTAGGACACAAGTCTCTAAACTAGACTGTCCTGAGTGTAGAATCTATCACTAATAAATGAAATGGATGAATCGTGTGAATAGATGTCCATTGTCTCAGGACATATACTACTTCTGTGACGACGGCTTGTTGTAGTTTGGGTAGGGAACTGTGGTAGCTAATATATTCATGTACCAGGTTCTAAAGCTACAAAAGAAAGAAAGAAAGAAATGGGGTTTAACGTCCACTTGACACAGACTAGGTCATTTCGGGACTAACATATGGTTTAATTTTATTTCAATAATTTGCTTGCGCGTAGGGGTCTTCAGCAGTGGGAGGAAACCGGAGGACCCGGAGAAAACCCACGAGGTTGGACAGACGACCCAACTGAGGATTCAAAACCACGCCAGTTGACTTAATGACAGGCACATGCTAACCATTCAGCCATCCACCCCCCCCACCCCCCCGCCCTAAAGCTACAAAGCATGCGAGTGTCGCAAAATATGCAAATACCCTGAAGTTTATATTAGTTTAACATATAGGAGACAAAATAATCTGCAATCAGTTCAGTGACAAGTGGTATCATGTGTAAGCATGCTCTACATTGTGCATGAAACCTGTCACTACTTATAGCTACAAGGCCTACAAATTGTGATTTTAATATTCAGAAAATCAAACATACCATAGTATGAGAGTAAAAAGTTTAATTCAAACCTTGACTGTCTTTCTTTAGCAAGTTTAAATATAAAAGCCATCGCACGTTTCACCTGCAAAACTATTTCATCCATTGATGCTGTAAAAAAATTAACACAAAGCTATTTTAAGCCATGTATATATATATATGCAAATCTACCTTTAAACAAAATATTTACTATAGTGTAATTCATAATCTAAGATAAAGGAAACTTGGGAATTATTTCATCCAATTAATATATTAGATAGCCATAAGATTAGATATCCGTATTCTACACATAACTTTGAATTTTTGGAATTTCCAAACATCTCTCCAAAAAATCGGAGAATCTACTAAAAATTAGTCACATTTTGTGTTTTTCTTCTACTGCAAAAATGAATCTCAAATGGTTAAAAGGGAAAGTGGGGTGGAAAAATATTGTGGGGTGCAAATGTCTTATTGACACCCACGGTGTTGGTCGAGAGTTTTTCAGGATTTTCTGGCATAGTTTCCCCTTGTTAGTGGTGCAGGATTGAGGGACTGGCAAGGACAGCTGTCTAGTCATTATGGATGGCGTGCATGTAATGAACTCTTAAGGGTTGGAATTTGATATAAGAGTAGGCTGAAGCAAAATTTTGGACGGTGGATGGCCTTTCTCTGGGTCCTCCGGTTTCGTCCCATAGCTAAATACCCATACGTGCAAGTGAATAATTGAAATAAATCTGAACCATATGTTAGTCTGAAATGACCTAGTTTGTGGCGAGTAGGACGTTAAACCCCCTTTCTCTCACAGCAAATTTCCCTCATAGCACACTGGATGGCTTTTGCCTGTCATCATTAGCCCAGTAGGCGCAGAACAAGAGATCAGAGGCCTGTATTTGTTTGACCCATAATTCATATATGTATCTTAGCTATGAATAGAGAAAATGAAACAAAATGGGGTTTAACGTCCTACTGTTCTTGCATGTCTTTCAATTTAGATGGAAATCTAGCATTTTCTAACAACTTCTTTAATAATGCTCAAACAACATCTGTGAGTTGCATGCTATAGAAGAAATGTTACCTGTCAAAATAGGGGCAATCCCTGACTATCTTTTACAATTGTTTTACATTGAAAATGTTGGAATTGCAGAGGGTTTTGAAATGCCCCTTACCATGTATGTTCATCATTAGAGTTACTTCTCTTAGATTATTCCGTATAACTGTAACCTAATCAATACTTTTTCTTTTACTTACCTGTGGGAGCAAGGTCGTAACCAATAGCAACAACAGTAGCACCAGCTTGAGCTAATGGTGGAGCCATAAATCCAGATATTTCACGACTAAAAAAAATGAAATGTGGTTTAATGCCTTACTGTAATTAGCACCAACTTGGCTAATGAAGATGGGTGACTAATTAAAAAAACAAATATTCATAATCAAAAAAACAGTATTCATATTTGCCAACCATTCAATCTGATTAAAATACAGATCTATATTTCGTTTCGTTTTTTTATACTTTTGATGGCCTACACTACATGAAGATCTGGGAGGTCGTGTAAGGGGTCATAAGAGCTGCTTTTGACCCTATGACCTCAGATATTGATTTATCAATCAGCAATGTGTCGAGTGGATGTTAAACCCCATTTCTCTCTCTCTCACACAACTCTTCCAGATCCTAATGTTGTTAAGACAAGTAGAACAAAATTTTTAATTATAAAAAACGAAATGAAATCGGATCTGTGTTTCAATCAGATTGCCAACCAATCTGCCTACTCTTATTTCATATGTGGGACCTCATTATTTATTCCAATTTTAACAACTATACACAGTTTCCTGTAAAACTCTAAGCTTCTGAGCTTGGTCCTGCACCACTGACAAGGGGAAATTAAGCTGTAAATTCCCAATAGGTTTGCAGGCCGCAATAGTTCAGGGATGGGTCCATTTGATCTAATTCCTGCTTTTTTCCTTCGCCTAAGTCGGATCGGCAGTATATACAGAATTTCACTGTCAGTTTCGTCCCGATGGTCTAAAACTTAGTTAGGTATTCCATGCACAGAACCCCAAAATACTATCCCCTATCATTTTGACTCAAACCAGCCTATTTGACGCGACGCAATAATAGAATTTTCCCAGAGACACTTTCCGGAAAAATTTTGGGCATTTTTCAAAGATTGCGGCAAAACGGAAGTTATCTACTCGCACCAAAACGGAAGTTATCTACTTGTACATGAACAAAAGCTTGAAATGTGCCTTTGAATCAATTATTATCCGGCTCTTGCAGTTTATTTCTAATCGAGCTAAAATTCGACTTATGCAAAGTTTACTGTAGTAATTTTATAATGTCTTAAAGCTCCATTCTATAAAATACCCTCAAATAATATACATTAAATGCCCTCAAATAATATAAGAAATCCGCAGGCCTGGAAATAACGGTTTAAGATTAGTGCCAGACATGTATTAATAATTTCAATAAAAAAGACAAATCAGTGCCGGACAAAACGACAGGCACCAGAGGTTTAGTGCCTGATAAAGCCTGAATCTGTGTCTGACAATGTCTGTGACAGGTGCCTTATTTCCAGGCTTGGAAATCCGGTTGTCAGCAGGGTAGAACAGAGAGCCCGTAAAAGAACCCTTGGCAGTAGGAATTTGATATAAAAGTAGGTTGTAGCGTCGCTGTCCGGGCAAAATTTCCCTCATAGTATACTGTATGGTGTATTTCATTTTCATTAGCCCAGTCAGTGCAAAATAGTAGGATATTAAAACTCCATTTCATTTCACCTATAAATGTTTATTTGAGAAAATTCTGATTATTTTGTAATACAGTAAGCTGTAAATGTATTATATTTTACGTAAATGTATTATTTTCTTACGTAAATGTATTATTTTCTTGCGTAAATGTATTATTTTCTTGCATAAATGTATTTTTTTCTGACATAAATGTATTATTTTCTTATGTAAATGTATTATGTTTTTACACTATGTTCCTGAAGGATAAATTGCAAGTTTTACTAGATATACAGACATAGTTAAATCAAGATCAAGCATTCTACTGAAGATTTGAGAGATATGCCCAGCTACCGACAAAAAATACTGAATTACCTTAAAGCCTGCCAGTATCCACCATGTATATACACAAATATAGGACTTCCTGAAAATAACAAATGGCAAATAATTAAATAACAGTCTGATATAGGGGGAATTTTGACCAGACAGCAGCACAAAAGCCTACTCTGACATGCACTCCAATGTTTTTTTGTCCCACCTTAAAGACTAGACTCCATTCCTTGAAAGGGGGAACCAACTGTACAACTGTCTTCATTAGTGCAACACAGGACCTCCAGGTTAGCAAGCCACCACAGCTCCCCATCGTAATCACAAACAAACGGCCGCCATGCAAGATATGCCCACATTTTCCAAGAGATGGACAGAGAAAAATCTAAAAAAAAGATTTTACATACTATTGAAAGGAACCCAGATTTTTGGGATATCAGTATATATTTTAAGTTTCATTAAAATCAAATAAAAATTGTGACCTCTAGTGGGTCCACAACCGTGGTATTACATACTTTGACACTAATTGCATACATGGAGTGGCTGTTTTGTCCAGCAGTTTTGGTCTGATTTCACGAAAATCTAACTCAACCTTCATTAGGGTGTAACGGTGATATATGTGAACGGTTATTAAAATCAGATAAAAATTGTGACCTCTAAAGGGAGCACAAGCTAAAAATATGATTTGTCTTACATTAAAGGGCCATAATCCAAAAAGTTATGTCCGATGTGCGTGAATATCATAAGGAACCACAATCTTTGGATTATAAACATACATTTTGAGTTTCATCAAAATCTGATAAAATATTGTGACCTCTAGGTGTCCACAAGCTAAAAATGTGATTTTTCATACAATCCTGGAAGTTCAGGGGTGAGGCTACCAGAAAAATGTTTTCTTTAATTCTAAAGCTATTGAATTAAAAAGGCACAAGTAGTTAGGAAATGTAATAACAAGGAAAAACTAACATTAAAAAAAGAAAAAAAAGTTGTTGCCAGGGTAACACATTTTTTTGGAAAAAGTATGAAAAAAGTAGATACACCATATCTCTGATAATAATAAAGATAAACGTCTCATTTTCAGACTGCTTTTTCTTTAACGATAACCCTAAAACCAGACAGAGAGTTTTTCTCTATAATTTTTATAGTTTCTTGGAAAATTACGTTTAAAACATTTGCCTCACTACAATATTTTGTCTTTGGAGAAATATTTTGATACCTTTTGAAATATTAATGATAATTCAAATTGCGTTCTGTTTGATTCTGTAGTAGATATTAGTTTATATGCCCTGCAAATTTGGTGAAGATATCTTAATTAGTTACAGAGATATAGCGTACCTACATTTTCATAGTTTTTCCCAAAAAAAATGGGATACCCTGGCAACAAATATTTTTTAATGTTAATTTTCCCTTGTTTATTACATTTTCTAACTATTTGTACTATTTTCAATTCAATAGCTTTAACATTTCAGAACAAAATTTTTCGGATAGCCTTCCACTCTTAAAAATGCATTATGCAAGAGCATAATCTGCTTATTACAAGTCTTTCTTTATGCCTGAAATGTTATCTAAATTATCAATTAGACATTAATTAACTTATCCAGCCTTCGATGTTGGCTGGATTAGATTCCTATATGCCGCTTAAGGCCATTGATAATTAAATCAAAACAGTGAATAATCGAGACTATGCTGTTTATATTAATGATTTTAGTAATGATGACCGAGACTATGCGAAAATTTCACCCGCTTCGTTCTCGGCTCATAGTGGATCAATTTGACTGAAATTTTCAGCAAATTACCTTTACACTATCTAGTTTTTAACTATTATAGCGAGAACTGCCATCTCTTTATCTTATCTCCCATAATGTATCTTTAATGTCTGATACATGCCAAAATCAATGGGGTTTAACATCCACTCGACACAAACTAGGTCATTTTGGGACTAACATATGGTTCAATTTTATTTCCATAATTCGCTGGCATGAAGGGGTCTTTAGCAGTGGGAGGAAACCCGAGGACCCGGAGAAAACCCACAAGGTTTGACAGGCGACCCTACTCCTTGTCACGTACAACCGGTGAATCGGAACCACGCCAGCTGACTCAATGACAGACTTGATGCTAACCATTCAGCCATCCAACCCCCTGCCAAAATTGAAAGGAACCAAGACCTTTAGACTGTCCACAAAAAAATTCTGAACAAACGAAAAGGGGCGACGACAATATAAAAATAACAACCTTACCTTTCTTATTAGTATTTTTGTCGATGTAAACATCGAGTTTCTGATTCTGTGTTTTACCATAACAAATATCTGTTTCGACTTCTAAACACCATTTAGCCGTCTTTGTATCTGAAATCAAATATTCTAAGATGCAGAGTGTTGACACGATTTAGGTGACATGGGCAATTACTGAGCAAATTATATTTTTATCATTTTCTGAGCTAACTACAGCTTTATATTTTATTGGGGTTTTTTAAAATTCGGAGGAAGGGGCGGTTCAAGTTGTCTAACAAAATGACCAAGTTTGTGTCAAGTGGAGGTTACGCCCTATCTCTCTCTCTCTTTCACTATCCCTCCCATCACTTTGTCTTCTAATAATAAAACTGGTAGCCATATTGATCTTCATGTAATTAAGATATTTAAAGTCTGATTGGTTAACGCATACACGTTGCATCATAAGGTCTGTCATTGAGTAAAGTGGTGTGGATTCGATTTTCCAGTTGTACATGATAAGGAGTAGGGTCGCCTGTCCAACCTTGTGGGTTTTCTCTGGGTCCTATATTTTTCTCCTACTGCTAAAGACCCATACGCACAAGCAAATTAATGAAATAAAAATGAACCATATGTTAGTCCCAAAATGACCTAGTTTGTGTCAAGTGGAGGTTAATCTCTCTCTAATCTTTCTCTCCAATCTCTCTGTCTAATTTCTCCCACTAATCTCTCTCGAAAGTGAAATATTTGCAAAAAGCTTACTGTCTTCAATAAATTTTATGTGTGCATCTATGACATCATCAGGGCTATATCTGTGAGACCATTTACTGGGACTATAGTGATATTCTAAATCTAACCCTGTATCAGCCATTATATGATTTAAACCATTCACAACACAAACTGTAAACAAAAAAATTCAATCAATAAATATTCATTCAAAATCATTGTATTAAAAATATTGTATTAAAAATATTGTATTAAAAATATTGTATTAAAAATATTTAATTTTAATTTGTTAAAGCCATAGTTTTATTTTATTATAGTCATATGTTTACAAAATGATACAATTCAGCCTTAAAACCCATGGCATCTTTACACAGTCCCACCCTGTTGATGAATAATCCTATTAATCCTAATCCTAGAGAAATTGGCAAATATATCTTTTTGAAGCTGAAACATCAATGTATAAGTTTGCCACTTCCATTAAGCGTGTTGAAAACAAGGGAGGTGATTTTTCTATTATTTACGGAAAATGGAATGAAATGAAATGGGGTTTAACGTCCTACTGATCTGCTCCGAACGGGGCTAATGAAGACGGGCTATGCCATACAGTGTGCTATGAGTGAAATTTTGCCCAGACATCGGCGCTACGGCCTACTCTTATATCGAATTCCAACTGTCAAGGGATCTTTTACGTGTATGCCAATATGTACACGGGACCTCAGTTTTTCATCCCATCCAGACAACTAGATAGCTGTCCTTGTCAGGCCCTCGGTAATGCATCACTGACAAGGGAGAACCACGCCGGAAAATCTGGATTATATATTACTTATATTACGAGGGAGCCAAAGTGGCTAAGTGGGTAAGAAGCTGGATCGCTAGTCTGGAGGTCGCGGATTCGCTCCCGGTGTTGGCCGAGAAAGTTCATCAAGATTTTCCGGCATGGTTTCCCCTTGTCAGTGGTGCAGGACGGAGGTCTTGACAAGGACAGCTGTCATGTCATTTGGATGGTATGAAAAAACGAGGTCTCGAGTACACATTGGATTATACGTAAGAGATCCCTTGGCAGTTGGAATTCGATATAAGAGTAGCTAGGTTGTAGCGCAGCTGTCTGGGCAAAATTTCACTCATAGCACACTGTATGGCATATGCCCGTCTTCATTAGCCCCTTCGGAGCAGAACAGTAGGACGTTAAACCCCTCTTTTTTTTTATTTAATTGTTTGCTAGATTGTCTTATTCCTAGGATATTTGTATTATTCCTCTGATTGTCATGTCTATGAGTTTCTGTTTGTGTGGCGTGGTCCTCCTGCATAGATTAATATTATTAACAGCTAGTTTAAATCATATGACCTACCATTTTCTGTTCAACAATACAACTGACATATTTTTTAACTTGTAATAATGTCAATGTCTTTTCACAAGTTTATGTTTACTTTTTCTACTTTCAATTTGTTTACAAATTACGTTAAACATATGAAATAATACATAACGGAGCTTCATTGGTTAGTTGCGCGCTTCAATTCACGCTTAGAGGTGGTAATTAGTTCATAAAGTATGTGAATATGTGAATAAGTAATACGCACCTGTACGCTTTTCCTCGGACTGACCTGTCACATCGTCACCTTATCTCAATTCGCATACCTGTCAAAGGTACGTAACTCTTAATTTGATTCCTGGTTATCCAGACTCAAGTATCGCCCACGCGCGACTGCATAATCTGTTTTATAGAGGAAATGCAAAAGCCTTCTTGTACATTGCACAATACTAGATCTTGGCCGATCTGGAAAAATGTTATCTTTACATACATGGAAATATATTTTCCGGATCGACCGAGATCCAGTATCGTGCGCGAATATTCACTGCTGATTAGTTTGGCGACTATAACTACAAGAAAATATCCCGAGCTGAAAGAGTGAACAATCGTACAATTTTGAAGACCGTCCGTATGAGCCAAAGGCTGATAGTTGTACCGAAAGGATCCTCTCACACGAATTTGAAATATTCCTATTGCCAATAAAACCCAATAATATATTTATCACGAAAATAATTGTTACCTTTATATTAGTAAATAACATTTTAAGACAAATCAATGCAAAGTTTAGGCCCTATATAATAGAAAAAAAATTACCGTAAACATTATAGTAAAATATCACACATTAGACTAACTGATCACGAAGGAAATTCCCGAACCTCCCCAACCGACCGACCTACAATTAGTATCTCCCAATCCGGATCAAAAAGACCCATTTTCTGCATTTGCCCAATTTGGAAAAACGAACCCGCCGGTAGATACACCCCCAATGATTTCTTAATTAAATGTTAAAAAAAAATTCAGTACATATTAACGTGGATTAGGCGTAAACCGTGGAGATTTTTTTGATTTTTTAGAAAACTATCATATGACGCAGAGAGCCTTTTATTTTCGATCTCTGTCGTCGAGGTAGATCTATTTCACATATGCCAATCGTACAATATTTATACTAGATGGAATATTGGATGATTCTCATTGAAATACACGTGCGGATTAGTGTCTGTTGTTTAAAGGACAATATTGGTGTCAGTCATTATAAAATATGTGATAGAACTGGTTAAATACATCCCAAATATAACTTTAAAGGCTCAATACCACTCTTGTTGTAACTGAATAATATGTCCCAATCTTTATTCTGGTCAACAAATTGTACTATTTTACAATATTCAATTAATTGATGATACAAATTTCATCTTAACACACCTTATTTAAAAATTTTGAAAAATTCAACATAATGATTTGAAACGTCTAACGTAAACCTTTTCAAATGAAACTTAGATTTAGAAATATTTTCGAACCCTCTGGACAAGTAAAATAGGATGTAATGGATAATTTACACAACAGGTAGGACACTTAAACATCTAGTACTTAGATAGAGATATTATTTATTTTCTGGAGCTTTCAAGCCAGCAAGAGTGTTGTTGTCCCTTTAACACAGAGATCATTGCTAAGGGAGATGTGTAACAAGCACGTGAAGAAACGGGAAGTGACGACAAACATGACAAACACGAGTTATCCTACTATATAACTGATTGAAGCAACGAGCGATAACATGCAGACACGCGGTCGAATTTCATTTCACTGATAATTCAGTTGAAGATGAAAAGCTATAGATGAGACGGTAAGAGGATATCTGACAATTCAAAAAAAAAAATTGGCTGTCATTAGATAAAAGATAACGAACAAATTAGAAAAAGTCCGTGCATTACCATGTTTTTATTAAGAACAGAATGAATAAAAATAGGGGAATGCACGGGATTTTTCTATTTTTCTTGTTTATCCTTATCTAGTGACAGCCTATTCTATTTTTTGAATTGTGAGATACCCTCCCACCGTCGCATGTAATAACTTTTCAACTTCAACGGAATTATCAGTGAAATGAACTAACATATGGTTTAATTTTATTTCAATAATTCGCTTGCGCGTAGGGGTCTTTAGCATTGTGAGGAAACCTGAGGAGGTTGCACAGACGACCCTACTCCTAGTAACGTACAACCGGGGATTCGAAACCACGCCAGTTGACCGACCCTCCAGAGAGAGCTGTCGGTTTTACCAATAATTGCTATAATGAAGACAACTGTGACAAAACCGTATGCCCTAAACATGAAGAAGTGGAATTAAAGTTTTATTGTTGTGGTTGTTCTGTATGGACTATCCAACGTTTACAGCTTGTTTTAACATTAATCGGATAAAAGCCAAACGAATGCTTTTGGAGTCCAGATTATTATATGGTTCATGATCTACCCTGACATAATATGGGTGTTAAACACGACACAAATAAATCAGCACTGGGTATGTTTCTGGCCCTGTGGAAAGTAAAGGACGCCAATATTATATCTTGTACAGTTACACACTCTGTTAAGCTTCTAAATGTGGTACATTGCGGCAGGGCCAGACCAGACCAAGCAAGTTGTACTTTTACAACATGGTAGTACTTCGGAATGGGCAGGGGTTACTAAATGGGGAAATTTAAGCCACCCATTAAGTTGTTTCGTTGACAGTAACAATGATTTTAAGTACAAGCAATAGATGAAATTTGGTTTACTTCATGCTTTGATCTGAAGAGAGTAGATACTAGCACGTTTTATTGGAATAACCAATGGCGTGTTGGAGTTCAACATATCCATGATCATTCAACTTTAGGAGTTTATACTGGCTGTGTTGTAAAGTGGGGTTCTCAACGAAATTTAAGAAAGGGGCTACATCATGTAGAGCACCACTGATTTAACATTATAGTCAAGAGAAATTAATGGTGGTCTGCGTCCTTATGTTATTTACGTTAAATATAGTTCTCTCCCTTGAACTCTGTCCTGTCACTTTTTCAAGCGCCATGCCTATCATTTTTGCGATATGATGCATCGCTATAATAGAAAATCCTAGTTATAGTGATCAAACTTGGAATAAAACAGCACCACCCCACTTAGCTCCAGCATATGGGTGTGTGTGTGTGTGTGTGTGTGTGAAATAGCTTTATTTACGCCCGCTCCCACCTAGCTACGAGAACGTAGCTAAAAACGTTGAGATATACTGATGTGTTTGTTTTTAGCTACGATTGGATGCCTTTAGTTCCAAGTGGCAAACTCTATTTCTTTATTAATGCATGTAACATCTTTAAAATAAGATAAGTTTATGCTATTATGATTAATTAAACTTACAGAGGCCAATGTAGTGGCACAACTGTCGCCTAACTCCAAATATTCGCGTTTAAATTAATGAAGCGTTGTTTTTGTCTGACGTTCACCGCCATCGAAATCCATTCATAGTTACAGTGCTTTAGATTGCCCTTTTGATTGGCTGTTATAAAAGCCTTATATTTAGCCCCGTCTTCGTGATAACAGGGTATCGTTTAAAAAGATGGCGGTCTTAGTAACGGCTTAACGCCTCGATTTTAGAAACGACGATTTGTTCTTGTTTCAGGTAGGATTATATGCTTAATTGTAGTTGGGTCTGGCAGAAATATTATAAGTAACAATAATCAATCGTTGTGTTTATTAAAAATATTGTCAATTTCGTTTACAAATGCCGGGTGCGAATCGCTCCCGCATGTGCTACGTTGAAGGTAATGGCCTCATGTCTTATCTCGAAAACGGAGGGTTGAGAGATTAAGGTTTGTTATCTAGCTCCCACCGAGATAATACGGGTAAGCCTAGCTGTATCTAAATGACGCATAATAATTAATTTAAACAGTATCACAACTGATGAGCAAAGGGCCTAATCCATCACCCTAGTTATCACTTTCCCTTTGGACAAATTAAGGGAACCAAACTTGTAGAATACTAGAGATTTGCTATCGTTGGCATCCAGCCCAGATCAATTTATAATAAACATAAGTAATTTATTATAATTGTAAACTATTAAATAAAGAAATATATGTTAGGAGAACAATAGTAAGATTGTAAGGTAAGTGGGTTATCTAACTTGACTAGACACGACAGAACAGGTGAACATAATTATGTATTATTGTGTATGACACACTTGCCTATTCATTGTTTTACAAAAGGCGTCATATTATGGTAAAATTCCCCTCATAGCACCTTGCATAATATGGCGTATGTCGTCATCGTTAAACTAATTAGTACTGAAAAGTAGGACGTTAAAACTGACTTCGTTTCATTGGTTGATGGTTTAAAATTACCAAATGAATCACTTCCTGTTTGTGCATGGAACAGGTGAAAGTAGAGAACGTGAACACAGAGAAGGTGTAACTGTAATTAGCTGTATTGAAATAAGAAGATTCTTTTAATGATGTATTCAACACCTCAATATTATTCTTTTATTCTCACTACATTAAGTTATGGTTCATGCGTTTTCTATAAAAAGTCGTGACTCATAGATTTAAAGATTTTAATAGACGTTGTGAAGTTACAGATGAGGACATATGCGTGCACATCGAAGTTGGTGGTTCGAAATAAGTGTAGGCCGTAGCGCTGTTGTCTGGGGAAAATTCCCCTCATGGCACCCTGTCGGATTAGCCCAATGGGAGTAGGACGATAACCCCTATTCATTTTATACTTAAATTGCTCCAAATAAAGCCATATAAATGTGATTCAAAAGAGATAACATCAAAATGAAATATAGATTTATTTCTCCAAATCTGATGAATTTTATCAATGATCATCGGACCATTTTCCTCGTGGAAATTCGCAGACACGGATAACATTTTTTTTTTTTTTTTTTTTATTATTTGGGGGGGGGGGCATACTTTTGTATTACAATTTTTACCCATCTGGGGACAGTACTCTGGTTTTAAGTTAGGGTTAGGGTAGAGTATGTGGTGGATTGGTACTCTGGTTTTAAGCTAGGGTTAGCGTAGGGTAAGTGAAGGAGGTTTAGGGTCATTTTTGAAATTGTTTTATGGGTTCGTCAAATTATGTTTATCACAGTATATCACCGTCTTCATTAGCCCAGGTTAGGAGCAGAAAAGTAGGACGTTAAACTCCATTTCATTTCACAGTATATCATCACCCTCTTCACTCAATTTTCTGGACTATTTATCTGACGATGCTATTTTGGCTTCTTTCCGGCGTGGTTTTCCCTTGTCAGTAGTACAGCACAAGATCATAGTCATAACCACCCTTATAATCGCAAAACGGGAGACGTGGTGGTTCAGTGAGTAAGAAGCTACCTCACTAACCAGGAGGTTTTCTCTTGTCAGTGATGCAGGACCGAGGGCCTG